TTTGAAAATTTGGAGGTTTTATTGTTGTTTCACTGTCAAACCCCTTCACACCTTTAAATCCTTGTTTTCACTGTCACCTCTTTTTCCTGTCTGATTATACAGAGAAAATATGGGATAAAAAAATCCCATCCGCTTCATGGAAGTGTTCAGGAGGGATCATGTTCTCATGGACTTTTGGTTTCGTCCCCTTCCCCCAGAATCCCTTTGGTCATCCCAACAAACCAAACCCCCGGTGCATTTATGATGCCCTGTGATAAGGTGTTCCCAACGTTAGGAGAGGTTTTGAATGCCATGCTGCTTTTCCTCGGGATTTTCCCTGTGCTGTTTGCCTGGCTCACACTTTGTCAGGCAGGGGCAGGTTCAGCTTTTAGTGGAAGGAAAAGGAAAAGACCTGCAGGATCATCAGCCCAAGGCCACCACATCATCCACCTGTTTTTTGAGCTCCTCCAGGCGTGGGGACTCCACCACTGCCCCGAGCAGCCCGTTCCAATGCTTGCCAACCTTTTCCATAAAGGAATTTTGCCCAAAATCCATCCTGCCCCTCCCCTGGCACAGCTGAGGCCGTTCCCTCTCCTCCTGTCCCTGTTCCCTGGGAGCAGAGCCCGACCCCCCCCGGCTCCCCCCTCCTGTCAGGGATTGCAGAGCCAGAAGGTCCCCCCTGAGCCTCCTTTTGTCCAGGCTGAGCCCCCCCAGCTCCCTCAGCCCCTCCTGCTGCTCCAGCCCCTTCCCAGCTCCGTTCCCTGCACACGCTCATGGATTGCTGATCATTTCCTTGGAAATCCCCCTCATGTGGCTGAAATTTTCCCTCCAGGGAGGGGCTCCTCAGTGCCGGCCTGGAGAGAAGCGGGGAATAGGTGTGGGCTCGGAGAACTTTCCTCATCCTGGCTTTGCAGGCCCAAACCGCCAGCTCAGGTTTTGCCCGTTTTTAGGGGTTTTTTTAACTGAAAAAGTCTTGTATGACTAGAAATGCTTCCACATCTGGGCTGAGGAGCTACACTGGGACAAGTTTGCCCCTCATGAGACTCCACAGAGAGATCCTGAAGAAATGCAGGGTCAGATCCGAGGGATGAGGAGCAGGAGAGGGAGCTCAGGCGCTGTCGGGGGGAGATGCGTGACCGTATTTTGGAGAGGGTTTCACAGGGGGTGAGGAGGAGTCCCAGGACTGTGCCAAGGGCAGGCTCCCTGCCTGAGGAATTAGATCCAAGAGGAAAGAGTGTGGTGAGGACGAAAGGAGCAGGAGTTGTTGGTGAGAGTGTCCAGGAACCAGATTCCCAACATCATCCCGAGCAGGGGAAAGGAGACGGGCGAGAGGGTTTGTGCTTCACCCCAGTGCCAGGAACAAGCAGCAGGAATTGTGTCTGGAAATCAGGATTCCAGGGTAAAAGAGGAATCATCTCTGCCCAATCCTGCAGCAAAATGAGCTGTTTTTATGATCACCGTGGGCAGAGCAGCACAGGGGGTGGGGATCAATGACTGCCCCAGGGAGCCCCCAGATCTGGGAATTCCTTCAGGCATCAGGAGGACTTGGATTTGGTTTTATTATTATTATTATATATTATTATTATTATTGTTATTATTATTATCTGCAGCATTTTTCTCATCTCTGGGCTTTTTCATAAACTGAGAAAATCTCGCAAAAAAAGTGAATTTTATTAGCTTTTTAAGAGGATGGGCGCTGTTTTCCCCAGTGACATTTGGTACATCTGTCATAAATAATATTTAATATTTCTGTTAGGCCTCAGCACTGATGCAGCAGGTGATACATATTCCTAAAAAAACCAGAGGAATATTTGAGTATTTAGTGCTTAGAAATACCTGAAAAACAGACTTTTATAAAAACATAAAACCTTTTTTTTAAGAACATAAAATCCATGGAAGCTTTCTGAAAACTCCTTCAATCCTGGGCTGAATTTTTACAGAATTTTGATCTCTATCTATGAATAAATAAGGTGGATAATTTTAAAATGATCAAACAGATTCGAATAGTAGGGCATTTTATATAAATATAGACTCAGGAGTGATCCAATGTGAATTATATTAAACTCAGTGGGAAACCATCTATTAACCTTAGCAAGAATAGAATCAGAATTCCAGAAATTCTGGTTCGGGAGTCCCGTGCCGGGGGATTACAAAAACACCATCTCGATACTTTTATCAATGAACTGGACAATTAGTTGGACTAATTAGTAGCAGCATCACTTTGAAAGAACTACTTGGAGTTCTAAAAAAAAAAATTATTTTGAAATTGTCTCAACCTTTCCAGTTCCAGGCAGGATAAATTCCCTTTCCATGATTCCACCTCAGTGGAGAATGGATGCAAAGAGTCTGTGCTGGGTGCTGGTCACTGAGAGGAGTTTTAAAATAATCAAGATTTACCAGTTATGGAGATTTGTGCCCAGGCTTTTTAAATAAGAAGCAGCCCGGTTTGGAGAAGTTTATGTTATTTTCTTTGGGGGAGGGTGGAAGTTTAAACAAAGCCATAATGTCGTGTCTCGGAGCAGACACTTTATTATGTGATGATAAAGCAAAAATATAAACTGGCCTCCTGCTTGCTGCGTTAAATGTCCCCTCTTTGGGTTATTTTACCAAATGTCTTCATTTTTTGGGGGGGGGATATTTATATTTTGTATGATGAGGCTTTGTGTTGGCCAGAGAAATCTAGAAGGGGCTGTATTAACATTGTCCTCTCCTCATTCCAAGGCCTCCTGTACTGCTTTACACCCCTTTTGGAATGGTGATGTGCCCCAGGTACAGACAACTGCACAGAGAAGTTCCCTGGTGGGGTATCCTGGATATATCCTGGTCCAGTAGAACATTCCCTGCCCATGGAAATGGTTGGGACTGGATGGGCTTTAAGGCCTCTCCCAACCCAACCCATCCTGTGATAAAGAAATTCACTTATTTATTACTTTGTAGTAGTAAATCTATTTTTTTTTTTTACTGACTCTATCCTCAGCAGTTTCCCAGTTACCTCTGTTTTAAATTCCCATTGTGAAGCAGTACCAGGACAACAGGTGGGCAAAGGAGCCCAGGGAAACACAGCCAGGGGTTGAAGTTCTTAAATTATTCATTGATTCTTAATTCTAAACCAAAATAAATCAGGGGGTGTGGCTGTTGAAGAGACCTTCAGTTTGCAGGCTTTAAATCTCGAGGATTAACTTCATATGAAGGATACAGAGAATACATTTCTTTCTTTTCTAAGACAAAAAAATAGAGAATATCCCTTCTTCCACCTCCCCTGCTCAAAGCTGCAGCCACTCAAATTGACAGCCTTGCCAACCCTGGCAAAAAATGTTACTTGTGTGTCTGTATCACATATGTAAAGTGAATTTATTAGTATGTTAGTCTTATATCACATAATTCAAAGAAATGTGATAGTAATTAAGCCTTACATCAAATTTTATGAATCAGTTTCTCTGCAAAACCTGCCCGTTCCCATTGTGTTCCCTTCAGCTTTCATGTTTTGCACTGGGTGCCTCGTGCTGTCAGGGGGTCATAATTCACTTCTCGGGGTTGTGTTCATCTGGCCCACTTGTTGTCCCACAAAAGCCCAGGGAAAGGCCATATGTTCCTGCAAAGGTAGCCTGGGAAGGCAGGAGAGTGGCTTCTCTTTTCTTGGGCCATCTGTTCTGCTTTAACTTCATTTTCTCCAGGCCTTGTGTCTAGCAAATATTGGGATAATAGATGGGAATTCTAATCAGATCGTTGTTTCCAGCAGCTTTGTGGTGACTCCACTCAGGTATTCCAAATAGATTTTTTTGTTGTTGTTGTTTTGCACATTCCTCCCGCTCTTTGGCATAGGAACAATTAAACTGGGATCCCAAAGTTTGAATATATAGGCACATAAATATAAATCCTGTTTAAACGTGAATATCCCGAGGTCCTGCAATGAAAACGGGAGATGGGAAAGCGTTTCCAGGACTCTGAAATGAAGGAGCAAACCCTGGATTGCTCCAAGTGGCCTGAGCCAAACTCACTGCTGCTCTTTCCCCCTTGGAGCTCCTCATTCCTGCCCACTTGCCACTCCTTCCCAGCCCAGCCCAGGCATTCCTGCAGCCCCAGGGATTAGGGAACGGATCTGGGTTAAGACTAATCCAGCAGAAATACCCAAATCGGCTCCCTTGGCTGATCCACTTGGGAGCAGAGGGAGCAGCCCTGGAGCAGAGGCTCAGTTGTGCCCTCTGAGGTGAGGAAGGGGCTCCACCTTGGGGATTTCCCCCTCACATTTCAGGGAAGTGAAGGAGTAAGGACAAAAATGTGGTGTCCCCACAGTGTTCAAGCTCTGAGGAGCCAACAGAGCCCTGGTTTAAGCCAGGCCTAGATTGGCTGAGGTTCCAGCTCTGCTTTGGGGAAACCTGAAAGTCCTGGGAGCCCTGGAGTTAGTCCAGGCTTAATCATGCACAGGTATTTCCCCCCACTCTTAATGCTGGTTCTAAAAATAAAATTAAACACAAGGCTCTGTTCAGGATCCTCCATCACAGGTTGAAGTCAGAAATTCCTTTGTACCTGTGTTTGTTTTGGGGAGAAAATCTACCTGGCATTTGGGGGAAAGGGAGTCTGCAAATCTATAATCTCCTTTCAGTGGGGTTTTTATGTTAATTTTATGGTGGGTTTTTATGTTAATTTATGTATAAATATGTATCTGAGTGTACACAAAGAGAGGAAGTGCATCTATAAACCAGACATAAAGAAGCAAAACGGGGCATCTTTTGTAGCATTTGAGTTCTCTGAAGTTTTCTGGTGGATCTTCTCAGGAATATCTCATTTAAAAGCCCTGTTATCCCTTCTCCAGCTGCGTGGCCTCTGTTTCTGCAGCCTTAAATCCTGTGCAAATGTAAAGCAGAGGAGGATAAGGCCAGACCTGGCCCCTGCCTTGGACTGTAGGGAATTCTCCTAATCCCGTGTTCCTGGTCAGTGAAAAAAAGGGATCCTTCCAGAGGGAACTTGAGGATGGTTTGCCTTTCCGCAGGCCTTTCAGTGCAAGCTGTGTTTCCTTGCAGGAAGAAGAGGCTTCATCGCAACGAAACGGGCCAAGAAACACAAACACTTGAAGAAACAGCACTTCTCCAACTCTTCCCAAAAGTCCAGAGACCCACCAGATCCTGGTGCATTCCATCCACCAGTCTTCCTGCTTGGAGGTAGGTGAGTGAGTTCTCTCCTTGCCTCTCCTTCTGGTGGCCCAGAGAAGGGGAGGATTCCCCATCCCTGGCAGTGTCCAAGGCCAGGCTGGAGCACCCTGGGCCGGTGGAAAGTGTCCCTGCCCGTGGCAGGGGTTGGCACTGGATGGTTTGTAAGGTCCCTTCCCATCCACACCATCCTGGCCTTTCTCTTCTTGCCACGTATTTAGATAATAAACACGGTGATTTCGAATTTTATCACCATTTCTTTTATTTTTCTTTGATGTGTCAGATGTGTGTGATGGGTTTGTTCATCCCCTGGTGCTGCAGTGCCACCACTAGAAATTAAATATATTTTTGGGGCTGTGAAAGACAACGCAAATGACTAAATAAGATTTTGTGTGAATGAAAGAAATGCATTTCAAACCCACCTGAAGTGAAGGCCCAACAGGCTGGTTGCCATCCCCTCTTCACACTCCTTTGGGACAGCTCACAGTTGAAAAGTTGAGTTTGTTTCTCTTACAGTTTTGTGCATTTCCCCCCCCCCTTTTTTTTTTTTCCCCTTGGTCTCTTTTGTTTTAGATGCACCCAATAATACCATGGTTGTAAGAATATTGTATCTGCAGAGATTAGAGGGGCCCAGGATTTTTTTTTTAATCTGTTGGCACAGACTCGTTATGTAAATAGAAAGCTCACACAAAGGGAGCCACGCAGCAAAAGGCACTGGGGAAAAAAAACAGCTGTTTCTTCCCCAAAAATACAGTCACCCTGAGATTCCTGCAGCTTTGGAGAACTCTGGGAAGTTTGGTGTTATGGATATGTGTTCAGTCAAAAAATAAAAATGTTATAGTCACTAAGTCCATTTTTATATCATTAGTATCAGTACAGATAATTTGTATCATTATTTTATTGACACTGTGTAATTTTGATAAGGTAAGAGAGTCAGGTAATTTACTGAGATTAATTTTTATAATGCTTTTCTCTGGATTTCTTGAGGCCTTTAACAGAAGCTTCTTTCCCTGCTGCTGCTCCAGTCCTTGCACTGTCCATGTGACCCAGATTTTTTTTTTTAAGCCCTACTCTGACTTAGGTTTTATTCTTGGGCTGTTTCATCCATCTATTGGAATTGTTTCCAGTAAATTAGTTTTGCAGTCTTTGCTGTGATCAGCATTACATGCTCCAGGGGAACCCTTCATAAAAATGGCTCTTATCAATACCTTTCAACGGGTTTGAACATTAATAATTTGATGTGAAGATTGTTTTATCCATAGTGAAACCGGGATCTAAAATATCTCTTCATGCAAATTCTTTAATGGGGGATTATCCCACCTTTTTATTTGATTGGTTACTGTAAAGATAAGCTATATTGTGAAGCTATGGATCCTTATTTATCTATAATTACATGAATGGTCGTGTTTTGAAGTGATTCAATAATATCTATGTGTTATGGTGGTCATGTGTTGAAATATATAATTATACAACAATTCCATGACATGGTGGTGGTCATGTTCTGAAAGAATTCAATAATATCTATATAATATATCATAATGGTCATGTTTTGAAATGTATTATTGTATAATCATGGTCACATTGTGAAGTAATTCAATAACATCTGGGTATTATATGAAAATATCTCTGGACTGGCTGTACATGGCATTCAGTTTGAAGAACAGGTAAACCCTGTGACCTGTGTGCTCACACCCTGTTTGTTTGGCTTCTCTGAAGTTTTTTACTCAGTGGGTTTCCTGTGACAGGAGAAGGTTTTAAGAACAACCAAGAGCTTTCTTGTGGTGACAAACGGCTTTCAAAGAGGCTCCAAACACGAAAATCAGAACAAATTCATTCCACTGTCTGTAGGATTCAAAGCTCAGTGATGCTGCAGCTGTTTTAATTGAAGGTTTATTTTGTAAAAGGTGGGAAATCCCCAATAATTCTGAATTTGATGCCCAACTGTGCCTGTGCTGAGTCCTCAGACTCTCAGATCCGAGGTTTTAACCCACCAGTTCTTTGGATGTGCCTTTAACCTGACGAGCCCCAAATCCCTTTCACCCCTAAAAGCATCTAATTAATTGATTTAAAGGACTGTTGGCTCCTCTGGGTGTCAGAGACATTCAGACACATCAATCATAACCCTTTCCAACCCAACCTTTTCGTCCTTAGGGGGAGGGTTTTGGTGTGGATTAGCACAGCTCCAGGTGGCTGAAGACATGACCTTTTTATTCGCCTACTGAGGATCCATACACTCATTTTTATAGGAATTTCCTCACTCTCCTGGCCAGTGAAACACCATCCAGTAACAAAAGGCATCTTTGGGTTTGATCCTTTCCGATCAGAGCCGTCCTACCCTCGAAAATCAAATATTCTTGCATTTTATATCAAGTAATTACTGGAGTGATTGCACTGGGACTTAAAAAGTGACCAAGAAAAGCGAAATAAAGATGTTGGGCTGACTTTTTAATTTACCCACTCTGCTTGTGTCCCCAGATGTCACGTGGGGAGCAGGAGTTCCTCAGATGAGGGGTGGGGGAAGCCCAGGAGCCACCTCGATGGACATAGAGCACAACAGGACACTGTCTAAAGCCAAGCTCAAAGTGCACCAGGAGTTTTAAGGGAGCCTAAAAATCCCCCAGCAAGACCATGAGGAGCAATGTAGGTGAGTATTCCCAAATAAATTTGTCGGGTGGATTTCTACCATGGTGGTTTTCTGCCGTGAGGACAAAGTTAATATTTGGGCCAATATTAACAGAAATTAAAGGGGAGAACAGGCATCTGCAGCATCTGGTGGTGCTGAAGGAGAGGAGGGAACAATTAAGCAGTTTGTACCTTTGTAGAGGGTGGACAGTGCACCCATTTGTGGAGTTTTGATAAGAGAACAAAATAAAAAGGCTTTAAAAGATTTCAATGACTGTATGGGACCAGCATCTGAAAGGTGAGGAAATTCCAGTGTTGTGTCACGTGGAGCATTAGCCATATTATTTGGGAGCAATCTATTTTGACATGATTAAACAACAGAGCTCCAGTTATCCACGCTGGAAAATGTGCAGCTCCACTCCTGCCCTGGGTTATGTTGTAGCAGCAAAGTGGAGCTGCCTCGCCCTGGGATCCAGCCAGAATTCCACAATATCCAAAGAAATGCTCTTATCCTTATGGATTTTTCCTAACCAAAAATCCCAAGGTTATGCCGTGTCAACAACCGGCAGATGGGGAGCAAGAAGGTGCCGGGAAGCTCGAAGAACACGGGAAGCAGAGCTATAAATACCGGGCTAATTCCATAGCCTGGAGATTTCTCCAAAAGCTTTTGTAAATCCCTCCAGAAAAGGCGGAAGAGATCCCTAATCTGAAGTGCCCCAGTTGAAGGAACGTGTGTGGGGTTGATTTTAAAGGGAATTGTGGCCACCTCCAGGGGGGCTGTTCGGGGCACCCGGGTGAGTCAGGGAGGGGCTGTGCTGGGTTTGCTGCCTCCAAACAAGGGTTTAAAACACCTTGGTCCATTTTCACTCTTACCTCATCCATTTCTTCTCCAGAGACAATCCCTAATTTTACCTGCCTGATCACCTTGGAGCCAATAAATACCATATTCCCACAGAATAGTGGATGTTCACAGCTCATTTTGAATTTTTTTTTTTAGAGAGCTGTCCCTTCCAACCAATACAGATCAGTCTTCTTTGGGGAGAGTTGATGAAAATAGGGAAGATATTTTGATTTTTTTTTTTTTAACTTTGCATTTAGAAATTTTACCTGTGGGACCTGAAATTGAGGCTGCATTTAGAAATATTTACTAAATATTTTTAATGCTTAATATGCTAACTCTTGAAAGCAACTTTCAGATTCCGTGGCAGGCACTCCAAGGAGGGTTTTATTTTCATGTTTTAATTGAATTTGGTGAATCTGTGATGTTGACAGGTCCTAAGACCTGGATTATGAGATAAAGGAATTGTCGAGTGTGTGAGCAAAGGGACTCTTTATAATTATGTATTTATTTATTATTTAAAATAATATTTTAAGTGTTTATTATCACAATACTATTTCAACTCTTTATTATCAAAATAATATTGGAAAATGTTTATTATTAAGATTAATATTTGAAATAACCCAATTTTATTAAAACTGGTGTTAGCCAGAAGAAGCCAAAGGAGTAAAATCAGTAAGATGAGTAAAACTGAGTGTACTGCAGTAAAAATGAACCAAAGGACCTTTTTTTAATCTGAAATAAAATGCTTTGAAAAAGACCCTGGTCTCAAGTGGAGGGAAATCCAGGTTGAGCAGCATTTGGAAGTTTGCCACGGGTTTCCTTGAATTCAGGTGAGGTGTGACATAAAAAAATAAATACCTGCAGAACAACATGAGGGCTGTTTTACCTGTGTGTGTGTGTGTGGAATTCTGATCTCCCAGATTTTCCTGCCAGCAGTTTAGGGCATTTATGGCACCGATTGATGGCTTTGTTTATGGTTTTTTATTCTGTGACAGAGTCTATCTGTGTTACTGGTTTAATTTCTTATGATCAGGTGTTAAATACATTATGATAAAGAGGTGACTAAGTGGTTCTTTGCCCACATTTTCCCCCCAGTAACTCACTTTTTTTCCAGAGCAGGCACCAGAAAATTCTCGCTCTCTGTGTCAGGCCTGAACTTCCAGAGCCGTTTTTGGGGCCTGCTCGGAGAATAAAGGACTGGTGGAGCTGCAATCAGGAGCTGGCACAATCCAGCCCTTAGATTGGGTTGAAAAAGTGCATTTACAAGGTTCTTATCTCTTTTGGAGCTTTGTTCTTGAACTCCTGGATGTGCTGACCCCTTGAAGGCCCACATGGTTTTAATTTCTGGGTGCCTCTGGGCCTTACTCTCATTTTTCTCTTCCCTGCTTTGATGAGCTGGTGGAATTCTCTTGTGCTTGTCGAGCTTGGATATGATTCACCCTTTTGTTTCCTTCCTTCTGAAGAGAATCAAGCCTTTTTTTTTTTTTTTTTGTCTGATTTAGTGCATTTTCAGGCTGTTTCACAAGCACTAAACCCGGGTTTTGCAGCGGATCAGGTGAGCTGAGCCAGGGACACGGAGCTGAGAGTCCTCACCTTGCCCCGCCTCAAACATAAATATGTCATGTTTGGGTGGCAAAACAATTCCAAGGAATGTTTGCCCTGGAATAGAGAGTAAAATATTCCATCATAAAATCGACTATTTCGTTTTCCAGGAGCCAGACTGGAGCCTTCACCCTTTATGGGCCAGTGAAATTCATCCTTACTGAGGGGTCGGTGTGAAGGCACCTGAGAATTGTCACGTAAAAATCCATCCCCAGAACACACAGACAAAGAACTTTTGGACACTTTGCTCTTTTTTTTTTATTATTTTTGGCTAAAAAAACACCTTGACTTGCTTAAAAGTAAATCTCAGAGCAGACAGGCACTCGTGAAGCACAAAAATCTGATTTGAAACTAGTGGGGTGTGTACAGTCAAGAATTTTGATCATCTGTGTTGCCAGAATACAGATTAAACTCTAGTAAAGCTGATTTTTTTTTTAAAAGGAAATTGTACATTAGCATTTTCTTAAATATTAGAATTCTCCCCTCCCCCCATGTTTGTGATGTGTTAGGAAATTAAATATGTACAAAATACGAGGTGGAAACAGTAATTTTAAGGGAGAAATTTAAAAGGAAAAAACTGTTAAGTATTTAAAAATATGAATAAATAATTAGGAGTCATTTAATATTGAAATCTTAACATCCTGAGTGGAGTATATTGCTCGCTGTTGCTTATCTTTTAACTCTTTTAACTGCTTCTTTTTCCAGCGTGGAATGAACAAGCTGAACGGACCCACCTTCAATCTGAGGCTTGATGAGGAAAAAGGTCAGGCTTTATCAAGTTTTATTTGAATCCTGCGCCCTGCTGGCAATTAGTGCACTGAAAAATACTTTCTGTGGGCATTACTTGTTTCCACAGCCCTGAAATAACAAAGCAAACGTGATGCTTTAGTGGCAGAATATTTTGAAATCAATGGTATATTCATGAACCAGCTGACTCAGAGCAGGGGAAGGAGAAGAAGGAGCTGGAGAAGGAAAGGTCACGTATACAAATCTTCAGAAATCCACTGAAAAATGATTACACTTCTAGCTAATAGAGCTGGTGTAGCAAGGAAGGGCTGTTTGGCATTTAAAAGGATTAAAAAAACCACTCTTTTTTTCTTCATATCTTCGAATTTCCGGGTCCTCTTTTAGGAAATAGAGAACTGCCTCTGAAATGAAATAAAATAGTGGGGCCAGATTCTCCAAATACATTCAATTAGTAGGTAATTATCCATCACATTACACAGATTTGTGGCATCCCAGGGTTCAGAGGCAGCAAAAACTCAACTATTATTCCATTAATGCCAGATGAAGCTGTAGGTTTTGCACTGAGGTGTCTGAAGAGCTGGTTTTTATTGTTCCCATATTTTTTTTTAATACCTCAAGTGGATTTTCATTAGGGAAATTGCTGAGCAGAGCTACGTAATTCAGTAAACAGGGGGGAAAAAAAATAGCACTGGGGAGAAAAAAAAAATTCCCTGTGTCTAAAAATAGTCCAGTCATGTGATTGTTACTTTGGCACAAAAGCATAATTTATGGGTTTAATTTGCAGTCCTGCCACAGTTCTGACATTCCCCTGCACAGCAACTGGGGCTGAATCATTCCAATTATTCCAAGACTGCTCTGCCCTGACCGTCAGGTGTCTCACACAAAGGAGGGTTATTTGGTTTATTGAGGCCTCTGCTTTTAAGGTGTGGGAGGATGGGTTTCATTTTTACCCTTTCTTGCTTCGTTTTTGAGCCCACAGTGCCCAGTCAGTGAGATCTGGGGTTATTCCCATCACTGTGCCCGGAGCCTTTCTCCAAATATCCGGGATTTATTCCTGTTTTTTTAGTCTCTTTCCTGAAATCTGGTTGAATTTTCCGGTTGAGATTGTGAAAGTTACATTTAAATTTGGTGTTCTTTTAAACTAAAATCTTTATTTTCCTGGGTTTCCCTTTCCCCAGTAACGTCCAAGTCAATAATGTCCAGCAAAACTGAACAATTACAAACAGTTTTACCTCTTTGTTTCCTGCTGCTGTTTATTGAGATGCTTTAGGAACACTGTGTGTCAAATATCCCTGAAATTCATATGAAATTAATTCATATGAATTTCATTATGAAATTAATAATATCAGATTCCAGGTTGCTGGGAATGGGTACCAAGTTCCTCTTTCTTTCTGCAATTTCCCCCGAAATAAAGTTGATTTAATAACATTTCTTCACTTCTTACTGACATATAGCTCAGTAATATTCTATTTAATAATAGTCCTTTAAGAAGGTGTTGATAATGGTGACATCACTCTTAGTTTATTTCTCTTACTTACCCAGTATTAGTCTTAATTTTAAATAAATCTGGGGGATGTCAGTGTGCTGACACAAAGTAGGTCTGTCTCGTGGTTTTGACCTATTTCCCTTGCAAAGAATGAAATTAATGTGGTGGAAGGCCTGGAAAAGCATCACAACTCCTGTGTGTTCTTCCATTTCATAGATCCTTACTGAAGAGCCAGGGCTGAGGGTTAAAAAGAAAATATTTTTGTTTCCTGCCTCTTATTATTATTATTATTATTATTATTATTATTATTATTATTGATGTGAGGCTTTTTTTTTTTTTACCTGTGAAAACCCTTTCAGAGACGCTCTGTGTGTTTTGGGCACGTGGAAGGTCTCGAAAGGATGGATTCAAATGTATTATTTTAATGCAGTTATTCAGAGCTGGCAACATATTCTTAATAATGAGTATTTAGGAGTAAGATAAAGGTGTCTCTTCAGCCCAAAAGCTGGATTCTATCCTGTGGAAATCCCATGTCCAGCCGTGGCGTGGTCCCAGAGACCAACACCACGAGGGAAGATTGAGGGAAGGAAGGTTTCCTTTACACTTTTGTTGGTTGAATCATCTCCTAAAAATAGGAGATTCATCAAATATTCACCACTGGTCTAATTAGCCAGGAGAAAGCTGCTTTTCCAAGTGGGAGAGCGTTCCCAAAAAGTGATGCAGCGTTTGCATGGGATGAGATGATAGAGGAGAATCCCAGCTGATTGCTTTGATAGACTCCAACAGATTAATGATGTGAGAGCCAGAACCAACTAAAAACCCCTTTTCACTCTGAGGGGATGGACAATAATGCTTTGTAAGAAGCTAAAAATTCTTATTGGTTCTAAAACCCCAGTAATTTGATTTGAGGGCGTTTCTCATTCTGAACGTATTCCGTTGGTTTTTCTGGGCTGCAAATGGAAAGCCACGAAAATTAGGGTGTGATTTTGAGTCTCCAAGGGGTGTTTGGTGTGTGTTCCAAGGGTTTGCAGGGCTTCATTCCCAAAATGTGGCCATTCCATAGGTGATTTGTGCATCAGAGAAAGCCCTTTGTGATCCCTGGAATTGTTGGGCACCACTAAAAGTTCTGGGGGGGGAAAAAAGTCGTGGAGCATCAAAAGTAATTGGAGGGCAAGGGGGAATGGATATTTAAACTGAAAGAGGAGAGATTTAGATTCTATTTTATTGGGAATAAATTCTTAAAAGGCTGGAGCAACCTGGGCTAGTGGAAGGTGTCCCTACCCGTGGCAGAGGTGGAATGGGATGAGCTTTAAGGTCCCTTCCAACCCAACCCATCCTGGGATTCCATGATGATTCTAAATTTTTGCAATACCAGACTGTCAAAATTTGTCTTAATGAGTCCCTTTATTAATAAAATAAATATTAATCATATCATATGGGACAGATGAGAACCCAGACAATTCGTATCTAATTCAAATTTTTTAGTTTCATACCAAGTTTTCTCTTTTCCCCACTTGACCAAAGGAGTTGTCAAAGCAAACGTGAACAGCTGAGTGTGCAGAGAGGCCCTAAAATGCAACATTTCAAAAAAAAAAAAAAAAAAAGGAGTGAGAGAGCCACATTAAAAATTGAAAACATACCTTCAGCATATGAAAATTAGGGAAACATTTTCCATGGGAAGAAGGGATCCAGGGGGCAAGAATTCGGTGTAGTTTTTTGCATAGTTCTCCAGTGAAATATTCCAAAGGATATTGTAATGAACCTGGATTGCAAGCCCAAATCTAAAAGGCATGTCCTGGCTCACGGGGAAAGGGAGTCAGGGATGGGGATGTGGAGCGCTGTGGGGAGATAACAGAGGTTGTCTGGAGCTGTGGGGAGGTTGTGGGGGAGAGGTGTTTATTGCAGGGGCTGTTGAGAGTCAGACCCTTGGGTGCAATCCAATGTCAGGAATTCCTTGGGCTTGCTCCAGCATCAGCCTCCTTTCCATCCCAGTCCAAGGGGCTTCCCAGGGAGCCTTTGGATGGGGAAGGGGCAGATGGTGCATCAAGAGATGGGGTTTTTCTGCAGTCATGGAATTCATAGAATCCCAGGATCACTGAGGGTGGAAAAGCCTTCCAAGGTCACAGAGTCCCCTCTGTGCCCCATCCCCACCTTGTCCCCAGCCCAGAGCACTGAGTGCCAGGGACACCTCCAGGGCTGGGCACTCCAAACCTCCCTGGGCAGCCCCTGCCAGTGCCTGACCACCCTTTCCAGGAGAAATTCCTGCTGATGTCCACCCTGCCCCTCCCCTGGCACGGCCTGAGGATGTTCCCTCTCCTCCTGGGGGTTTGTAAGTCCCTGGACCAGTAAGAAATGTAGAGGTTTGAGTGGTCTGGTGTTATGGAGTTAAATGAAATAACACACGGGAACTTTTCCGTGGGGATTAGGGGTGGATTTCTGTACCAAAACATGGATGGGCACCTCTTCCCTGTGCCATTGCAGGGGTTGCTGTGAGGACTGGGGGCTTTGCTGCCTGCACTTTGTGGAAATCCACATGGAATTTGCTCCTTAGCCATTAATGCCTGAAACATTTAAGAGCTGAGAACAAATAAATGTCATAAATTCCACTTTATCAATTCTTACTTTCCATAGAATCCCAGAAGGATTTGGGTTGGAAGGGAACCTTAGAGATCATCTCATTCCACCCCCTGCCACGGGCAGGGACACCTCCACCAGCCCAGGGTGCTCCAACCTGGCCTTGGGCACTTCCAGGGATCCAGGGGCAGCCACAGCTTCTCTGCCCAACCTGTGCCAGGGCCTGCCCACCCTCCCAGCCAGGAATTTCTCCCTAACCTCTCATCTAAACCTGCCCTCTTTCATAAAAACATGGCAAGGCAGGGCTGAGCTGAGCAACTTTCCCTGCCCCCTGTGCTCCCAGTGTTTTAAATCTGTGTCTCCTGGTGTTGTCGTGTCACAGAAGGTTAATCCTCATTCAGAGGAACAGGGAAATTATTCCCCTATTTTAGCCTCCCACAGGGCCTGCAGTGAATTCAGCAATAAGGTAAATTCAGCAATAAGGTAAATTCAGCCTTGCATTGGATTGGATTGGATGGAACATCATCTGCTCCCTCCTTAATCAGGATAAAACCAATCCAGCACCAGGATTCCTGAACTGAGAACCTGAGCAAGCCCTGAACTGTTGCCAAGAGCTTCCAAATCCTGTTCCTGTGTCCCAGACCAGGGATTGAAGGCTGGATTGTTTGGACAAGGTGTCCCTGTGACATTTCCCTGTGAGCTCATCAGTCTCCTGGTCCCTTCCCCAGCCAAGGATTACATCCCACTGGAGTGCTCCAGAGCCTTGGAAGGTGGGAACAGATCCCTGCAGAGCAGCTCCAGGCTATTCCAGAAGGCTTCATCCCACAGAAAATCTGAAATCCTGGAATCTCTAAGGTTGGAAAAGGCCTCCAGGTCCAACCTTTGCCCAAATCCCCCCCTGTTCTTCAGAGCTCAGCCCTTCAGTCCAGGGGCTCTGCCCAACCTGCTCCTCTCTGCTCCTCATCCTGGGAAATACTCCAGGGGTTTTTTCTTTCCCCATGGAGCATTTGGAGCTTTCCATTTTTAAGGGGCACATCTAAAGAGGATGTTCTGTGTTGGGGGGCTTGAGGGAACATTCCCAGGACTGTATTTGTGTCTCTCTCCAGTCTTCCTTTAGTGGCCTTGAAGGAAGGAGCTGTTATTACTGTTAAATATGGATTTAATGTGGTGTTATGCAGAAATCTGGGATCCTAAATCTTCATGTTTCATTTCTAGCTCAAAAAAAAAACCCTTTTCTTACTAAAATCCGTCAGGTCTGTAACATTTACTGTGTTCTAACGTGTTGGCATAACAGGAGTGTCAGGAACGAGGCAGAATTGACACGTGATCCCAAAGAAAACCCGTTCGTGTTGTTACTCCAACCATCATCAGTGCCTCTTATATTTGAATTTTAGGATTTGCTGTTTATTCTGATGTGTTTACTGTCTCAATCCCATGCTCCATGTTTGTCTCACCTTAACAAACTGCCCAGGCTCAAGAGCTCAGCCTCACCTGGTCACCTTGGAAAGCTGCTGTGGGGAAATAACATAATTTTGGGGTGAATAACATCGTTCTGAACTTCTGTCATGAAGAGTTAAATCATAGTGTGTGTGTGGGGAATTATTCCTGGGGATGTTCAGATTGTTTCCCAGGTATTCAGAGATCAGTGCATTGATGCTGCATTTTCCCTTTTTATGCCACAATTTTTGGAAAGATGATTATTTAAATTTAATCCGAATGCAGCGGTTTTCCATTTTTATGGATATTACCCGGCCCGGAAGCAGCTTCCTCCACATTAAATTCATTCAGGTTTATAAACAATTTTTAAAGGGCGTTAATTTAGTCATCTGCTGGTATTTCTGAACAGAAGAATACGTGAAAAAAATACTCAGTGAAAAGAGGCATCCCTTTAATTCACCCAAACTGCACATTAACCGTGTAACAGCAGCCTCACTCTTGTTCCTTTTAAGATGCACTTGTAAATAGAATTTGCTGGCAGGTTTATATTTACCCCAAGCCTTGTTTTAATGGTTCCACTGACGTTGAAAACGTTGATTTTAAGCTCTTGAAATGGCTGCAGCTGTAAACACCTCCCCGAGTTCCTCACGTCTCTCCCGCATCCGTGTTTTCCAGGCTGCTTCACTGGAGCCAAGGAGTCATGAAAGAAGCTCAAGAAGACAACTTGGACAGCGAGCAGAAGGCAAAGAGCAAGCAGAAAGGATGTGGCCCAGCAAGGGGTGTTGTAACACCTGGAGGTGTCGGGTCTGACTCGTGCCTGTAGAAAATGAGAGGAGCTGTCACGAAGTCCAAGTTCCCTGGGCCGGTCCTCGAGCTCGGAGCCACCCTAGGGAACTAAAAAACCCTCCTTTCCCCCCCCCCCAAAAAAACCCCTCCTCTCTGACAGGTAACCCAGGATTGGTGAATTATGATTTTCCCAAGTCGGAAGCACTAATTTTTATCCCTTATAGCTCGTCCTTATGAATAGATAAGGAGTTTAAACCTTGCATATTTAATGTGGATTTATAATGGGAGAGTGACTCGTTCCACCGAAATGGCCCCTCGGAAGGACTTGGTTTCAAACTGAGCTGGAGCCTCCCGGTGCACTTTGTCCGGTGTGGGATCAGCCGTTGCTGCAGGGCCTGCTCTGGGAGGCCAGGATGACATGTAGGAGGAGGATATCAGCCTGCTGTTGATATCTCTGGAGACTCCTGAGCCAGAAACGGGAAAATGAACGGTGGGAAGGAGTGTGACGGAGGGGACACGGACGGAGGGCCACCGGCAGTGCAAGTTCCCGTGGGGTGGCAGCGGCGGGTGGACCAAAGTGGAGTTCTCTACATCAGGTAAGGTGGCCCCAGGGGCATCTGCTTTCCTTGCTCTTGGAGTTTTGGTGGTAAATTAAGTGGATTCTGCCGGTTTGGGCGGTAAATTCGGGACTCGGCTCCTTTGCTCGTGCTCAAAAACTTCACGGGCTTGTTGTGTTCCAAGGGGTTTTTGAAGCTGAGGGAGGGCAGGAAGAGATGGGATATTGGGAAGGAACTGCTGGCTGGGAGGGTGGGCAGGCCCTGGCACAGGTTGGGCAGAGAAGCTGTGGCTGCCCCTGGATCCCTGGAAGTGTCCAAGGCCAGGTTGGAGCACCCTGGGTTAGTGGAAGGTGTCCCTGCCCATGGCAGGGGGTGGGATTGGGTGATCTTTAGGTCCTTTCCATCCCAAATTATTCCAGGATTCTGGGATTCTTTTGAAAGGAAATTTAAGTTATATAACTACTTAATACCTGTAGAACTTTTTTGGCTCCAAAAACCATCATTTTGGTTATGCCCGTGGAAATTCTCTGTGCAGTATCGCTGCTGTTCTCCAGCAAGATTTACTCCTGTGGGTTCCTCACATCTCTCCTGTGGGAAAAGAAACAGGAACATGAGCCTAAATCCCAAGTTTTAGCTCCTTTATTTGTTTATTTTTGTAGCTTATTGGATTTTTTTCTTGTTTTGCTTCGCCCCGGAACGGTCACGAAGAAATGGAGTGAAATTGGTATTAAATAAATGCATTCTGACAAACAGGCTGTAAATTAAATGTTATTGGGAAAAAAGCTCAGAGTCAGCTTTAACAAAATGTGGGCAGAGCAGGTTTGCATCGCAAGGGTCCACCTGATGATCAGTCTGTTATTTGCTTAATCTCATTCCACCGCTCTGTCATTAAAATAGCCAGTCCTTCCCAACATCTCGTGTATCACCAAGACAAAACCCTCTAACGAGTCAAAGCCCCGCTCCAATTTTACACTAAACCACCATAAAAGATCAGATGCATTGCAGGATTTCTTGTTGATGTTCCCAATTAGCAGAAATCAAACCAAACCCGTGGCAGTGATACCCATGTCAAGAGAAAAATCGCCTTCCCTTGCACTCCTCATTACAGCTCTAATTTACTGGGCCTCTGCCTGAGTTAAAAATCAATGAGAAAGGAAAAGTTCTGGGTCACTTGGGTTGGTTTGGTTTTTTTCCCAAGAATCTTTATATCCAGACACCAGGACAATAAAATGCTTTGGGATTTTTATGTACCTCGTGATCCCACCTGCTTTTGAGCTTGGTTTTCTGCAGCTCTGAGAAGTTTCATGCACTTCCTACAGCTTTTGGGGGTGGTTGTGTTCTTTCTGCCCTCTTCCCATGTGTGTTTTTTGAGTCTTTAATTCCGTGGTTAAAGGCTGGAAGTCAAACAGTCCCATCTCCTGCTTTTGACAGGGAGCATCCACAGGGCTCAGCCAGGGCAGCTGCATCTCCGAGGATTGAATCCTGCTCTGCCCCGACGTGTGCACAGCGTTTATGGAGACAGGGAAAGGTCAAACAATATTGACTCCCCAGCTATCCAAGGGAAAATTAGTGGATATATTAAGATCTGACATGGTTTAAGCAGGATAGATGATCCCAGCTGAATAAAGACCCTGTGTTTGTGCTCCCCTGTAAAGCACACAGGCTTTGCTGGCAGCTGGCAGCACTTGCTCTGGATTAAATCAAGATTAAATCCATTAATTAACTAGTTTTTATTACCTGATAAAAGCACTGAGTTGATTCTCAGGGCTGTGCTGCTGCCTTAAAGCAGGGCCTGAACCATCCCTGGAAGTGTCCAAGGCCAGGTTGGTCAGGGCTTGGAGCAACCTGGGCTGGTGGAAAGTGTTCCACCATGGCAGGGGGTGAAATGAGATGATCTTAAGGTCCCTTCCAACCCAAACCATTCCACGATTCCCTGCTTCCGTGGATTCTTACAAAGGAAGCTGTGGATTATCCTTTGCAGTTAGAAGTGTGAGGAGATCTGTGCACACAGAAGGGACTACCCAGGAACAGGAAAAAAATGTTTTGTTTTGTTTTGTTTTTTAAATTTGATGGTTTCCTGTGGACAGATAACCCTGGCTGTATGTGCAGGAGGGATGGTGGATCCCACATCCCACAGATCCACTGCACTGACCTTCCTTCACACCCTCTGATCATCAGCACAGTGTGGGGTTTTTTTTTTCCAGGCTCCAGGGTCTCCTTGAGCCCGAACTGGTTGTGTGTGTCCAGGCAAACTGCACAGCAAGGTTATTTCAGATTGCTTTATTCCAGAAATATCCCAAAAAAGGAGCCTTTTTTCGTTTAGGCAGTGCAAATAAAAGGGCATCCTGACTCCAGAGCGTATTTAACAGGGATTTTTAGGCACCACAGAAAGTGTCTGTGGAGATTCCGGGTGCAGATGGGATGGTCCGGAGCAAATCCCGCAGGAAGCTGTTCCATCTTCGGGTGTGGAGCTGAGCACAGTCAGGACAGGCTGGCAGAGTCCAAAGGGACTGTGGTTTAAGCAGTCTGGAGCTGAAATTAAAATAAATTGAAATCAAGAGTAGTTTCCCCCTCCTCCCCAAGGCTTCCAGACAGGGAAGGTTTGACTTCCTGACCTGTCACTTCAGGCCTATTTTTAGTTCTGCTCTTTCATCTTCCTCACCCTCCAAACTGTCACTGTTACACAGACTCAGCCCGAGCGCTCCTCCCAAAAATAACCATTCCAGGGCGAGTCTGGCAAATAAATCCCTGATTTGAACCGTCAGCAGAGCTGGAAGTGTCGCTTGCAGATGTTGCTGTAGCCGGGACTGGGTCCCTGCGCGGGAGGAGACGATTCCACGGCGGGTTTTAGGCGGTTTGTTTGCAATTTTGACTCTCGAGCGTTTTTCCTGATCCAAACTATTCCACTTGGGTTGTTTTTGTGTTAAAAATGGGGCTATTTTATGACTGTCACTGAAAAAAACCAGTGGGTTCACCTCGTAAATCCCTGGATCTTTTCGCTGACAAACAGTTCAGTTAAAATAGTTTTAAAATATGTTTGAGAGGTGGGGTTTTTTGGTGTTTTTTAATAAGTATCGTTACAATCCTTGACAAGAAGCAAGAAATAATATGAAAAAAAAAAAAACACAGTAAATATCAGCTCTCCTTGTGAGTTTTTAGACTGGCAGGTGCAAGTCATGACCTATCCAATAGCTTTTATTCATCATTTCTGTTCCTTTACAGTCCCAGTGGGTCTTTATTATCCTGCTTGGAGCAGGTGAAGACTTACTTGCTGACTGATGGAACGTGCAAGTGTGGCCTAGAATGTCCTCTTGTTCTTCCCAAGGTAAAGCAAAAGCAGCATTTTGGGTCTTTACTGGAATATTTATGATGCCAGCTGATGTGCTATGCCATGGCTTGACCTCTGTTCACGTCATATATGTATTTATAAAACGAGCAGTGCCCACCCAGAGTTATACCCTGAAATCCAAAGGTTAATCTCCCCTCTGCCTTCCCCCCTCTTGGGCAATGCAGGAGCAGTCAAAGAGCTCTGAGGACCAGAGGAAAATTCCTGTGTGTCCCGTGTCAAATTTAGGTGCGTTTGGTGAGTTTTGTGCCCGTCATCGTCGTTTAAACGCTGGAATTTTCACCTCCCAGGTGTTTAATTTCGATCCTGGAGCTGCTGTGAAGCAGAGAACTGCTGAAGATGTCAAGGCAGATGAAGATGTCACCAAGCTATGCATCCACAAGAGGAAGATCATTGCTGTGGCTACACTGCACAAAAGCATGGAAGCACCTCATCCTTCCCTGGTCCTCACCAGCCCTGGGGGTGGAACAAGTGAGTAAAACTTAAATCCCGCAGAACCACTCAGTAATCTTAATTTTATCTGTGTAATTACCATGCAAAACCACCCCCAAAAGTCTGATGTGTCTGTGAGTGCGAAAATAAACAGGTTTTTAAGGAGTAAATGGAGTGATCAGAGAGATAGAGAGGTAGAAAACGAGTCTAAATCAGGTCATTCCCAGCCCAAGAGCATGATTTTCTTGGAAAAGATATCAGATTGTTCTAGAACAAAGAAAATACATTAACTCTCATCTCGTGGAACTGTGGCAGTATGTCTGATATTCTGTCACATGGGAAATTAGAGGAGCAGAATAAAGTGATTATGAAGGGATTAGGACGTGGCTAAATGGGAAATTGTGTTGTAAAGGAGAATTTACAGCAGAGGAGATCTCCACTGTAATTTCTCAAGGATTATTTTTAGGCACCAACCTGGATTAGCATTTTAATTATCCATGTCAACAAAAAAAAAAAAAAAAAAGAAAAAAAAAGAGGTAATTTGTTGGTGGCTGGAGCTGACAGGTGTTACCAAAACAAGAGAAGATCAAACCACGTGGTGAAAGTTGGGGGGATCGCTGAGATTGGGGTGAAAGAAAAGGTGTAACAACAAATCCTGATAACTGAGAGGTTGTTCACCTAGAAAAACCCCACAACTTTTAGCTGTAAATCATTGAGAAATAACACCCAGACAGCAAGGGATCGAAGATGGCAGGGTGGTGCTGATCAGTGTGAAGTTCAACCCATGCTGTTCATAGGACTGATTTTCACATTGACATTTAAGATTTTCAACCTCTATTTTTTCAATGTCATTTCATTTCTAATTCACAGTTTCCCAAGGTGCCACACATTTTTCTTCCTTAATTTTTTTGATGAGTAGCACTTAAGTTGAATTCTTGCTTTCAAAAACTCAGCAGAATGAAGGAGGTGAAACCAGGTAAATATATTCAAGACATGAGTGACATTCATGTGCTTTTGCCTTCTCTGTTGGTCAGAATTTTGTGCCCTAAGCAAAGAAGTAAATTTCCCAATAAATGGCCTTTGTAAGCAAAATATCTTTTCATTTTCACACCCTTACATGTGACCATTTGCTCAGTTCCAGCCTTCAAGGGGAGGTCTCTCACACTGATTTTATTTTGCAGTTCAGCCTTGAGTTTTGTCCCCTTAAATTGAGACTTTGGTTGTGTTTTGGCACAGGTCAAATGTTTGTTTCTGTGGTGATGGGGCTGGTTGTGCAAACAGGCAGCAATGTCAGTCTGCCCAGGCCGAAGGAGAGGTGGGAATGGGATTCCTGGGAGCAGGAGTTCCTTTGCACGTGAAATTTGCAGCTCCCAACTGGAGTTTGCACATCCAGGGGCTCCGTGCCAAGCACTCCGAGCTGAATTGCAAATTCCCAGAGCAGCACAACTGGCAGAAAGCACCCCAGACTTTGGAGCTGCTTGTGGTGATATTCTAAAAGTAAAACATTGGGGGAAAAAAAAAACCTTTCTAAATAAAGATGGGAAAGGGCCTCGTGTTTGTAGGAAGGCCTTGGGCTCCAAAGTGGGAATTTTTCCATTGGGTTCATGTGTCAACGTGTGCAAATGTCCCCAAGGCTTTTATCCTGCAAACAAACACCTAAAGCATCCAGAATCCCTCATCAGGGCCAGCGTCTGGGACAGGACCTGGGAAAGGAGTCTCAGTCCTGGCTGGGCTTTGTTCCTCCTGTCCTCAATAGATGGTGCCAGAGGCTCCTTTTCCCTGCGACAGCGACTCCCTGCTCCTGCCAGAGGGCTGGTGCTGGAAATCCAGGAGTGGGATGCTGGAGGTGGTGGTTAGAAAAGACAGAAGGGCAGGGGAAAGGTTTGCAGTTGTCCATGTTTATATGGGATGTTAAATTAAGGTCTGTACAGGGCGACAGGCGCCGTTCCAGCAGCTCCTCAGTGCCTGAGGTTCCATTCCTGTGGAAGCCAAAGTTTAACCAAAGGCTTCCTTGCTTTGAGGAACGTTGTCACACACCGTGTGAGCTCTGCCCTGAAACCTGTGATAACTGCACTTCCAAACAGTGATGGTTGTGTGTTTGTAACACCAGGTGCGACTCCAGTAGTTCCCACTCGAGCAGCAACTCCGCGATCGGCGAGGAACAAAGCGCACGAAGGAATTACAAATTCCGTGATGCCGGAATGTAAGACTCCTTTCAAGCTGATGATCGGGGCATCCAATGCCATGGGGAGGCTGTACGTGCAGGAGATGGCCGGGAGCCAGCAGCCAGAGCTCCATCCTGTGTATCCCAGGCAGAGGTTGGGGAGCAGCGAGCTGGGGCAGAAGTCTCCGTACCGGGGCAGCCACGGCGGGATGCCCAGCCCGGCTTCCTCGGGATCGCAGATCTACGGCGACGGCTCCATCTCTCCCAGGACTGACCCGCTGGGGAGCCCCGACGTCTTCACCAGGAGCAATCCCGGTTTCCACGGGGCGCCCAACTCCAGCCCCATCCACGCGAGCCGGACGCCGCTGTCGCCGCCGTCGGTGATGCTGCACGGCTCGCCCATCCAGTCATCCTGCGCCATGGCCGGCAGGACTAACATACCTCTGTCCCCCACCCTCACCACCAAGAGCCCCGTCATGAAGAAGCCCCTGTGCGGCTTTTCGGCGGGGATGGAAATGCCGCGAGCGATGTTCCACCACAAACCCCCCCCGCAGGGCCCTCCCCCGCCTCCGCCGCCCCCTCCGCCGCCGGCCTGCGCCCTCCAGAAAAAGCCATTGCCATCCGAGAAGGATCCCCTGGGCATCCTGGACCCCATTCCCAGCAAGCCGGCGAGCCAGAACCCCGTGATCGTGCCCCCGTCCCCGTTCCACGCGAGCGCCCACTCTCAGGTACCCGTGATGAATGTAAGCATGCCCCCCGCCGTCGTGCCCCTGCCCAGCAACCTGCCCCTGCCCACCGTCAAACCCGCCCACGCCAACCACGCCCCCCACGGCCAGAGGGTCCAGCACTCCGCCTCCACCTCCCTGTCCCCGTCGCCCGTCACCTCCCCGGTCCACATGATGGGCGCGGGCATGGGCAGGATCGAGGCCTCCCCCCAAAGGTCGCGCTCTTCCTCCACGTCGTCGGATCACGGGAATTTCCTGCTGCCCCCGCTCGGGCCGCAGCCGGCCTGCGGCGGCATCAAGGTCCCTCCCAGGTCCCCGAGGTCGACCATAGGCTCGCCCAGGCCGTCTATGCCATCCAGCCCTTCCACCAAGCACGATGGACTCGGCCAGTACAAGGACATCCCCAACCCGTTGATTGCTGGAATGAGTAATGTACTGAACCCGCCCAACAATGCAGTTTTTCCCGCTGCGTCGGCTGGAAGCGGTTCCCTGAAGAGTCAGCCTGGTTTGCTGGGAATGCCTTTAAACCAGATCTTGAACCAGCACAACGCTGCCTCTTTCCCAGCCAGCAGTTTACTGTCAGCAGCAGCCAAAGCACAGCTAGCAAATCAAAACAAACTCGCTGGTACCAACAACAGCAGCAGTAGCAACTCTGGACCTGTTGCCGGCGGCGGCAACTCCGAAGGACACAGCACTTTAAATTCCATGTTCCCTCCTGCTGCCAACGTGCTCCTCCCCACCACGGAAGGGCAGAGCGGCCGAGCAGCACTGAGAGACAAGCTGATGTCTCAGCAAAAGGATCCTCTGAGGAAAAGAAAGCAGCCCCCCACCACGGTGCTGAGCCTGCTGAGACAGTCCCAGTTGGACAGTTCTGGGGTTTCCAAAGCCGGCTCCGATCTGATAAGGAAGCAGAGTCAAAGCTCCTTCCCCATCAGCTCCATGTCGCAGCTCCTGCAGTCCATGAGCTGCCAGAGCTCCCACGTGAGCAGCAATAGTTCCACGGGCTGTGGGAGCTCCGGCCCTGCCCTGCCCTGCTCTGGGAGCCAGATGCATTTCCCAGAGCCCGCCCTGAGCTCCGGAGGCCTCCAGACCCCGCTGGCGCCGGGGCTGCCCCTGCGAGGGGAGGGGCTGCACTGCCACGGCCCCGGCACCGCCTTCGGCCACGGCGCCAGCCCCGGCAGCACCAACCACCTGGCAGGGCTCATCAGCCAGATGCAGGCTGGGGGGAGCTGCGGGATGCTCCCGCAGTCGGGAATGGCTTTAGGAAACTCCTTGCACCAGAACCCACCTCAGGCGCGAATCCAGGCGCCCTCGGCCCCGGTGATCGCCAACAGCGTCGGCAGCAGCTGCAACCAGAGCAGCCCTGAAGCAGGTACGTGGCCTCCTCGGGGGGATTCCCCTGGGCTTCACCTCTTGGAAAGGTGGGATGGCTGGTTTGAAACGGGTTCCTTCCACCTGTCTGGTTTTTAAACTCGAGTTTCCCGGTGTGAGCAGTTGGTGCTCGTACCCAGGTACTCACATAGGAAGAGAGAAGACTCACAGCAGCTTTCCAGTGTCTGCAGGGAAGCCACAGGGGGAATCTTCATCAGGAACTGTCGTGGCAGGACACAGGGAATGGCTTCCCACTGCCAGAGGGCACGGTTAGATGGGAGATTGGGAAGGAATTGCTGGCTGGGAGGGTGGGCAGGCCCTGGCACAGGTTGGGCAGAGAAGCTGTGGCTGCCCCTGGATCCCTGGAAGTGTCCAAGGCCAGGCTGGACAGGACTTGGAGCACCCTGGGCTAGTGGAAGGTGTCCTGCCCATGGTCCCTGAGCTCCAAGGTCCCTTCCAACCCAAACCCTTCTGGGATTCTAAACCAAACCAGTGGTAAACAAAAATATATCTCCCTTGTCCTGGACGAAATCATCCTTCCTGTGCCAGCTCCTGCTCCTCTGAACTTCCACACACGCTGCATAAATGAAATCCATGCACTTCTGAACATTCCCACACCTCTTTTGTCACTCCCCCAAATAAACTGGTTGGTTTTTTCCAGCATGCCCTGCTAGTCCAGCCCCAGGTTGGAGTATCCAGGTGGTAACACGTGTTCTTCACTGCTGCCATTAAAGAGTTGGTGTTATCAGAGTCACAGGGAGTCCCAAAATTTGCAAAACAACCCCTTCCAGGGCCAGGACAAGGAAATACCGAGTCTGGGTTTGCCTTAATCGGGATAATTTTACATGAAGGTGATAATGAGGTGGTTGGATAAACTGTGTGTTCAGTTGGAGGAGTGGAGAGAGAGATTTCCTGGTTTGCTCACCCTGAAGACTTGGAGAGGAAATGGGTTTGCTGCTGTTCCTGTGTCTGGGGTGTTGAAAGATAGGAGGGAAACAGCTCAAAAATGGGAATTTCATTGGACTGTTTCTGTTTGAGCAAAGTATGGAAAGGTGGTACCTGTGTGAGTGAAAACCCAGCTCACACCAAAGGGACCTCAGGGTGCAGTCGGTCCCTCAGTAACCCAAGAACCTGACCTGAATTTCCTGAGCTCCCTCCTTGAAAGCGCAGAATGGAATCCTATAAAAAACACTGAATTCCAGAAAAAGAATTGTCTAAGATCACGGTTCCTGATGAATTCCAGGGCTTCCTCTCCGTTCCTGGGGTAACAAGGCTTACTTCTCCCCCGTGCTGTGGGGGTGGTTTGTGTTGCAATCAGGCAGCTCTCAGTCCTTGTGTGGCTCTCTTGCCTCGTCACGCTGACACAGAGGAGACTTCCCGAGGCATTTTCCCTCTGGAGACTTTGGCCTCCCTTCTGCACGGAGCAAAGGTCTGGCTTTGCACCAGGAGTTCTCTTCCCTGTGCTTGTATTCCCAGGGATCCTCAGGAAAGCTGGGTGGGACAAATGCCCCCCACCAAACCCGAGCCATGCTCACCATGAGGACACCTCTTTTCTTCTCTTCAGATTGGGTTAGTCCCTAAAATTACACAGAAACCTTCCTGTGTCTCATCCACAGGCTGTGGAATTCCAGAGGGGGGCAGTTCTGTTGTGTTTTCCACGAACAGCGTGGGAAGCGCCGAGGATTTTGTGTTAATAACGACTTTTAAAAATAAAAGTGAGTCTCCAGTCAGCACTCAGCTCTGGGACAAAGCTGGGAAGAGGAGTATTGGGAATTATCCTGTCCTGGGGTGTCATTTTTGGTGCTGGGGCTGGTGAAGGCCCCTGCAAACTGAGTTTTCCAGAGCTGAGTAAGATGTTCTCAGGAACCTCCTGTTCAGATTTCAGCTTGTGGCTTTTTTGTTTTCCCCTCCCCCCTTTGTTTTGAAGTCTTTTAATTGCTAAATCTGTGTCTGTGCCAGCACTCAGAGCAGCTCCTGCCCCAAAAATAGTTCCTGGGAGAAAAAAACACCGTGAATCCCCACAATTAGCCCAGCTTTTAATTAGATTTTAACCACACGGCCCAAGCTTTGTTATCCTGGCTCTTGTTCTCTCCTTCCTGAGATAATATCTGCAGTTCCCAGGTAATTTTCAGTGGGAGTGTGATGGGATTTATTTGGGGTTTTTTGTAGGATGTGTCACTGGGTGATGAGTTTTTATTGTAGGTTGGCTCATTTAGGTTTTTTCTTGCTGATAGGGAAGTTGAGGGAACCACAATAACCACAGCAAATAGAAATAAAGATGATAAGCTGTCTCAAAGATCAGAACATCAGAAGCATGAGGAGTTTATTTGGGCACATTTGGCAAGTAAAGGCTTTATCCTTTTCCCTGGAACTGGGGAAATGTGCAGAATAGAAATAGTAAAATGTAATTAAACAGGGAGGAGCTTCTGTCCCTCTCCAGAGGGGTTTATTTTAATGCAGCCAGGATAATTGGGAGTGGAGCAGGGCCTTGGAAAACAAGAAGAGGTTGGGGAGACTTGGATTTAATCCACTCAGTGCAAAGGGTCAGCTCAGGGGTGTTAAAAAACAGAACAAACCAAAACAAACAGAACAAACCAAAACAAACCGCACAAAACACATTTAAAAAAAAAAATCAAAAGAGAAGCCGAGTGAATTCCTGGCAATGTGAAAAATGGGAATATTTAATGGAACTGGGGGTGCTCCTGGCTGTGTGGACAGCTGAGGAACCCAGGGTTGGGATGTGCAGGAAGGTGGAAGGTGCAGGAATTTCCAGGGCAGGCAGCAGAATTCCCGAGGGTGGCTTTGCAGGAGATCCCGGAGTCGGGCTCATCCCACCGGGAGCAGATCAGCAGGGCTGGTGCCAGGGAGCTGGGCTGGAGAGGGGGCTATTCCAGCCCTTGGGAATTCCCTGCAATCTGCTCTTTCACAGAAGCAGCCCAGGAAAATCAACCTAATATGGGCGCTTTTCTTCCCTGAGAACAGTCCTTCCTGTGCATCAAAGATGGAATATTTTCAAATATGTCACATTAAGTGGTGTATTGGAATAAGTGAGTCTGTGGATTTGCTTCCCAAAATGACTGTGGATCTCCTGGAATTACAGACTCAGTAGAACTTCCTGATGCCCGAGTTCAGAAGAGCATCTGGCACCTCTGTGGGACCTGTTGTGGCTGAGAAAAATTCCTTGTTGAACTGGAAATAACCCCTGGACAGGATGCCAAGCAGCTCCTCCTCTGATTACAGAGCCAGTTGAAATGTCCTATGGATTTTGGGGTTACAGCAAATTCCAGAGGGGCTTCTCCCTGCTCGGGAGCCGTGACAAGGGATCGCTGCTCTTTCAATCTGCACCTTCTTTTCCTCTGTTGTTATTTCTGGGGAGAGGAAAGGGATCTTTTTTCTATTCAAGTGAGGGCTGTAAAGAACAGGGGGAAATGTTCTCTGCTTTTTTTAGGCACAGATTGTGGTTTTCTTGTGTTTTATCTCTCAGAATTCCAATTTCCCAGTAACTCACAGTCTTTGATTTCACCAGACCCTTCCCTGGTTGGTGCTTTGAGTGCCATACATACAATTTTCTAGGAATTTACAGTGATAAAAGTTGAAGGATTTATGGAAAATAACAACAAAATAATGCAGAAAGGTGAGCCTTGTTAAGTGGAGAAAACGTGAATTAATTACCTGGGGATTTCCTGTACATATTTAGCTCTCACCATCCCAAAGTATTCTTAAGTGGAACCAGTGGGCAAATCCAACCCTTTCCAGGGGGAGGAATGGGGGGGTTATTGAAGGAAATTATGCTTTTTGTGGAATTTTTAGCTTCTCAGATGGGCAGTGAAGTGTTTTACAGCCACAGCTGAGCACAGAAATCATGTAGGTAAAATTCAGAATTCAGAGAAGACAGGAAAGGAGAAGAGCCTAGGGTGACAGTCAGCTGTTAATTTTTTTTTTTTTAAAGCCTAATTTTAAGGATTTCTGTTGTCCTAAAAACAGTCTGGGGCTTTTTGCCCTCTCCCCAGAATTTTGGGGCTGACATTCCAGTTGCTTTGTTGTAAGTGTGAAAAACCTGTGATGGTTGTAGGCACAGTAACACCCTGGGGTGTCGTGGGCAGGGAGGTAAATATTTCACAGGGAGCATATTCCATGAGGATGGGGATTTGCAGACGAGGCAATTTCAGGTTTTAAACTGGTCCTGCAGGAGGATTTTTTTTATTTATTGGTCCGTTTTTTGTGTTTCTCCTGTGCAGGATCTCGATAAGGACAAGGACTGACAGCACTTGGTGCTCAAATGCTGAGTTATGGCTCCTTGGGAATTGGAATTGGAATTAGCCCCTGTAATAAAAGGGATGCCAGATAACCATCTGAAATGTTTTCCATTCCCAGCAGAAAAGGGGGAATACAGTGGTTAAAATGCACAGCTCCTGGTTCCCAGTGTACAGGGAAGGGGTGGAAGAGCTCAAACGGGAATGTGTCTGGGAGTTTGAATCCTGAGAGGTGGATTTTCCACCAGTGACTGCTCTGGGAAAGGGAAGGCCCTGAGAGTCACTGATTTAACAGCATCCCACCCTTGCAGACTCCGTGGGATGTAACTTGGGATGTTCTGAAAATGCCCAGTGGAGAACAAAAGTAGCTGTGGCTTTGTTGGGTATGGAGAGAGGCTGTTTACAGGGCATGGAGGGACAGGACATAGGGAGTGGATTTGAACAGCCAGAGGGCAGGGAGAGATGGGATATTGGGAAGGAATTGCTGGCTGGGAGGGTGGGCAGGCCCTGGCACAGGTCAGGCAGAGAAGCTGTGGCTGCCCCTGGATCCCTGAAGTGTCCAAGGCCAGGCTGGAGCACCCTGGGCTGGTGGAAGGTGTCCCTGCCCGTGGCAGGGAGTGGCACTGGATGGGCTTTAAGGTCCCTTCCAACCCAAACCATCCTGGGATTCCCTCATTCTGTGAAAAGTGAGAATTGAGAAAGTGGAATCCATAACCTCTCTTTGTCCTCAACCCTAAAAAACATTTCAGGTGTTAATGGCCAGTGGGCAAGTGCTGCACTTTTTACTTGTCCAAGTCCTTCCCAGCCCTGTTTTAGGGATTATTTTTATTCCACAAATTCCAGCAATGTGTTCTTGACCACTGAAATACTAAAATACATAATGAGGAGTCTCTTACAGGGAAATTAATTGCATCATATTATTTACATTATTGTTTTCCCATTGGTATGCTTCAGCTGCAGTCTTTTAGGAAAACATGTGTGTAGTTATAATCAGGGAACCATGGAATGTTTTGGGTTGGAAAGGACCTTGAAGACCATCCTGTTCCACCCCCTGCCACGGGCAGGGACACCTCCCATGACTCCAACACATCCAGGACCCAACCAAGGCAGGCTGTGGATTGTATCCCAGCATTCCAACAGGATCTGTGTGTTCCTGCCTCTTCATGGAAGGGCAGTGCTGAGGGGTCAGGGATAAATATCTGCCACTCTGATTCCTCTATTTTAAGGGAACGAGGAGAGTGAATCTTCTGGAACACCTGACACCCATTGTTTCATTGCCTCTGCTGAAGAAAACCTGTCAGGGAGTTCTTTAAAGAAATGAACCCAGATAAAATGCACACAGGAAAACGAACCTGCTGTCAAAGGAAAACACAACAAAAAGTGCTTTTAAGTAAAATAAGTAATAATGTTAAAAATGTAGATCTTACTCAACTTCCATTTAGTTTCTTTGGCCCTCTTAGAGAACAACAGAGCTGCTTTTTCTGCATCCTGGATGTTTCTCCTTTCCCTCTAATTGTCCTCTTGCAGCCTGGTCATGGTGATAATGAACCCCTTCAGGGTGGGGTTTTGTGTGAGTTGGTGCCCTGTCCAAACTCTTCCTTTCCTTCCAGCTGCTGTCCTTTTCCAGGCCTGGGGGAAAGGCAGGTGCTCAGAGCTGTGATCCTCTTCTCCTCTGTGTCTTGGGATCTCTTGGGCCTGACTTGGGAAGAGATGCAGAGCTCACATTTTGGCAGTTCAGTCTGTTTGTTGCTGAGGATGAAGCTGACCCAGAATGTAGCTGTAAATGTTGTATTTGCTGCTGCCCAGTTCAGGACTTTCCTCCCCCCAGTTCCTGCTGTGCCTCCCTGTCAAAAATCCCTCCCTGTGTTTTGTTTCCTGCTGAAGTCTGGCTGCTCATCCCCTCTTCCACTCCCAAACCTCTCCAGCCTGGATTGAAATAAGGACACATTTTCTTCCTCCTACTCAGGATCCATCAGGATTTTGGTTTTTTTTTTTTTCCTCAGTAGCAATTAATTAGTTGCTTAATTAATCTGGAGAAAGGGCAGGTGTTGAAGACAGGTAGATTGTGCTCTCACACTCCTGCACTCAACATCATCCGTGATGCCTCTCCCAGGTGGTTCATCCCAGACCGGGCCACAACTGGCTCTGTTATGTTCTGGTTGCTTTGGGGTTTGTGCTGGTGGATGAAATCCTGGTCTGTCCCCATCAAAGCCCTTCAGGGGAAGCACAAGTTCAGTAATTCCCAGCAGGGGTTTGGAGCAGCTGGTGGCAGATCCATCCGTATTTTACAAGTTCTCCAGTCTGGGTGCTCCAGACACGGTTTTCCCTGCGTGTGGGCATCAGACACTGCTGGTTTGGGCAGCTGTGGGGCTTGACTGTGTCCCCAGGAGGCAGAGCCCCGTTAACAGTGGGGTCGCTTTGTGTTCCAGGGGGTTCGGGGCCGTCCTCGTCCATCGCCATCGCCGGCACCAGCCAACCTGCCATCACCAAGACGACCTCTGTGCTGCAGGACGGCGTCATCGTCACCACAGCGGCCGGGACCCCCCTCCAGCAGGGCCAGCTGCCCGTGGGCACCGAGTTCCCCTTCCCGGGTCCCGAGGCGCCTCTGCCCTTCGCGCAGAGCGGCGCTGCCGGCGGCAACCTGCCCCCCACCCTGCACCCCAACCTCCTCAGCTCCCTGCCTCTCTCTCTGCCCGTCAATCAGCAGCAGCTCCTAAACCAGAACCTCTTAAACATCCTGCAGCCTTCAGCGGGAGAAGGCAAGTCCGAGGTCAACCTCAACCCTTTAGGTTTCCTCAACCCGAATGTAAACGCCGCGTTAGCTTTCCTCTCCGGTGACGTGGACGGGCAGGTGTTGCAGCCCGTGCACTTCCAGCTGCTGGCAGCCCTGCTCCAGAACCAAGCCCAAGCCGCTGCCATGCTCCCCGTGCCATCCTTCAACGTGACCATCTCCGATTTGCTGCAGCAGCAGAACCCCCCCGTGCCCTCGGTGGCGCAGCCGCCGGCCCCCCCCGAGCCCCTTCCCGACGGCTCCAGGGTGGAGACCCTCCTGCCCAACCCCATTCCCGGCTTTCCGGGCGCCGACGCCGCTCCCAACCCCCTGCTCCTGCCCGCCGGCTCCGGGCCCTCGGCGCTCATGGCCCTGAACCCCCAGCTGGTGGGGGGCGTCCTGAACTCCGCCGGCCACCCCGAGGTCTCCATTGCCACCTCCTCCCAGGCCACCGCCACCACCACCACCACGTCCTCGGCGGTGGCAGCTCTGTCAGTGTCGGCGCTGGGGGGTGGCACGGCCGTGGTGTCCATGGCAGAAACCTTGCTGAACATATCTAGCAGTGCTGGGAGCGCCCCCGGGCCAGCCAAGCTCAACAGTAACTCTGCGGTGCCACAGCTCCTTAACCCTCTGCTGGGGACGGGCCTGCTTGGTAAGTCCGCTTTCCTCCCACCTGTCAAAAGGAAATTTCAAGTAAACAATAAATAAAGTGAAGAGGGTTGGGGAGGGGGAGCTTTGGATTCCGGTTTCTGTTTGCAAGAACTCCACTTTGCCATCCTTTCTTTTTGTCTGTGTGTGTGTGTTACAGCTTGTTTGTCGAGAGCGACTCTTCTGGTGGGAGATTTAAAGCAAATTCTGCTTGGAAGTTCTCAGTATTTAACACTGATTTGGGAAATTATTAATTCTGCCACCTAGACCTGCTATAAGCACGGGAGAATTGTGTGAGCACTTGTTTCACTGCTCAGGAGCCTCCCTGGGTGCAGAGTGTGGCAGCACAGGGTTAGTGGGAGGAGCTGTGCAGGACCTACATCCCAAAAAAAAGTGATTAAAAACCCCTTAAATACAAGTTTGGGTTTTTTTATCCTGGGTGATGATTCTTTGGTTATTTTTACCAAAGATATGCAGTAGAATTAGTGCTTCTCTGTTTGATCAGTGCATCTAATTAAATGGGAGGAATTAAATAATGGCAAAGAGCTGATAAAGTGTTTTAACTTCAATATTTAACTTAATACCTCATAGTGACCTGCTGGTTGGCTACAGTGAACTTAGCCCTACCTGGCATTTACCATGTAAAATATAACTAACCAGTGATTCTGCAAATGGAAATTTTAAGGGTAAAGTGAGCTTTGAGTTAAAAAGAGAGAAACAAACTAACAAATGGATATATTTTAAGCTTCACTGTTTCATATTTATTTTACTAGAACTAGAATCTCCACATTGAGGTTTTCATAGGATACAGAATATTAATACAGTTTTTACTCTAGAATGTACAAAAATAATCATTTAGTATTCAGTATCTGGGCCTAAAAGCCTTCTCTCATTCTCAGTTGGCTCTTGTCAGGACTCTTAAAAAACCAGTTTTGTTGGGGTTTTGAATTATTTTGGCTTTTCTCTGTGTCTCCTCCTCCTCCCTCTCCCCACCCCGGTGTCCCAGAGGCCGTTCCCAGAGCCCTGTCAGGAACCTCCAGGCAGATCCAGGTGGATGTGGCACACAAAGAGCAGGAGGGACGTGCCTGGAGGATTGTTGTGTGGGAGGCTGGAGGGCAGCAGGGTTGTTGGACAGAGGCCTTTGCAGCAGTCACTTCAAACTGGAGCCCAGGACATTCCTGCTGGAGCCTGGGAATGGCTGTGACTCGTGGTGTTTGCCTGTGTTTGGGTTGCAGGTGACATGTCATCCCTCAACACTACTCTGAACAACCATCAGCTGAGTCATCTCCAGTCGCTCCTGAACAACAATCAGATGTTTCCTCCAAATCAGCAGCAGCAGCAGCAGCAGCAGCAGCAGCAGCAGCAGCAGCAGCAGCAGCACCTTCTCCAGGGCTACCAGAACGTGCAGGGCTTTCAGGGCCAGCCCCAAATCCCTGGCCCAGCCAACAACCCCAACCCCATGGCGTGTCTGTTCCAGAATTTCCAGGTAGGAAAGCAATATTCAAACAAGCCTGCAGCTCTCAGGAGGTAAAATTACATCCCCCAGGGTTTGGGTTGCTTTGCTGATTAAGGCAGTATGATCCATATAAATTACATCTATACACTGTATACATTTTACTCTCTCACTGTGGGTTTTGCAAATCAGTAACATTTTGATGGAAATTTTATGCCTTTCCCTGCAGGAATCGGGTCCAGTTTCCTTGGAAAGAGTTATGGTGCATGTATTGAAAAAAATGTGCTATTTCTGTGCCGACAATACTATGAATTTTTAGCAAAACTCTTTTCCATTGTGCAGGAAGGATCATAAATTCCCATTCAGCCCCTTCTGGTAATTCAGCAGTGAGAAATAAATACTGCAACCTCTTCACAGTAATTAGAAACTTAGTGAGTTATTGTAGGTGCCTGTCTGTGCCAGTCCTCTTGTATTCCCACTGCAATTTCATGGAAGGGCTGTTGGATTCTGCAGCCTGAAGGAAACAGGGATTACAGTGAATGTACAGTGACAAACTGTGAATTTTGGGTAGCTTTAGCTGGGTATTTTTTTGTACCAGATTCCCAGTTACAGAAATAATGGTCATGGTAAGCAGTTAAAGGGGCCCTTGGAATATTTTCCTGTTGTTCTTTGCAGTGTTTTGTTACTCAGCAGTGCATGGGGGGCTGTGTCACGTCAAGGTGTCCGGTTTGCTCCACAAGGCAAAGTGGGAGAGCAGTGGGTCTGATTTCCTCTAAATTAGGGTTGTTTTGTTTTCTCTCTGCCTTGTTCTGCATTTAACTTCATAAGTGATATTTAATCAAAATAAAATGGTGTCCTGTGAGGAACAGTCACCCTGGGCACCACCCCGGGGTTTAATTAAAATGAGACCGAGTTTGTCTGTTGAAGTAGTTGTGGAGTCTCCCTCTCTGGAGACATTCCAGCCCCACCCGGACGAGTCCCTGTGTCCCCTGCTGCAGCTGGCCCTGCCTTGGCAGAGGGATTGGTCTGGGTGATCCCCAGAGGCCCCTCCCAAGCCCAGCCCCTCTGTGATTCCGTGAAAGGTTAATCCAGACGATCACCTCCCCCCTTGTGCTCTCCTTCCCCAGGTGAGGATGCAGGAGGACGCCGCGGTCCTGAACAAGAGGATGATCCCGCAGATGGGAATGGCGCCGGTTCCCGAGAGCTCCGGCGCGATGCTCCCTCCCTTCCCGGAGCCCTCCTGTGAGCTGCAGCCCCGGGCAGAGCCCCCCCTGGGGCAGCAGCCCAAGGACACCGTGCCCGTGGGCGGCCCGGGGGACCCCTCGGTGGACGCCATCTACAAGGCGGTGGTGGACGCGGCCAGCAAGGGGATGCAGGTGGTGATCACCACGGCCGTGAGCAGCACCACCCAGATGAGCCCTATCCCAGCCCTGAGTGCCATGAGTGCCTTCACAGCCTCCATCGGGGACCCCCTGAACCTCTCCAGCGCCGTCAGCGCCGTCATCCACGGCCGCGGCATGGCCGTGCCCGAGCACGAGGGCAGGGCCCGGAGCGCCCGCGCCGCGCGCGGCCCCAAGAACGCCGAGCACGGCAAGAACCCCGCCGAGGGCGAGGCCTACGAGTACTACAAGGCAGCCAGCTGTAACACCCCCAAAAAACAGTGGGAAGGGGAGCAGAGCCCGGTGGGCGAGATAAGCAGGTGGAAGTGCGAGGAGTTCCTGGAGCACTCCCACCTCCACGGCAGCCCCTGCCACGAGAGGCCCAACAACGCCTCGGCCCTGCCCCTGCTGCCCGCCGAGCAGCACCAGCCCCTGGCGCCGCAGAGGAACTGCCAGGGCGACAAGGCGCTGGAGGAGAACTTCAGGTATAACAATTACAAAAGAACTCTGCTGAGCTTCAAGGACAGACTGGAGAACACTGTGGAACGCTGTGCACACATCAACGGGAACAGGCCGCAGCAGGGCAGGGCCTTCGGGGACCTGCTGAGCGCTTCCAAACACGACCTGGGTCTGGAAGAGCAATCTCCCAGCTCCTCCAATAGCTTGGAGAGCTCCCTGGTGAAAGACTACATCCATTACAATGGAGATTTTAATGCCAAAAGCATTAACGGGTGCGTGCCCAGCCCCTCGGATGCTAAAAGCATCAGCAGCGAGGAGGACCTGAGGAACCCCGACTCGCCTTCCTCCCACGAGCTCCTCCACTACAGGCCAAGGACGTTCAACGTGGGCGACTTGGTCTGGGGCCAGATCAAAGGACTCACTTCATGGCCTGGCAAACTGGTGAGGGAGGAAGAAGTTCACAATTCATGTCAGCAGAACGCTGAGGAGGGGAAGGTATATTTACATATCTCTGCACATCTCTCTCTCTCTCACTCTCTCTGCACGTGCCCACCAGAGCGTCGGCATTTTAGTCTTGGGCTCTTGGTTTAGCAGCACAGTTTGGGTTTTTTCCTTACCTGTAGCTCATAGGACCGAATTTCCCTGTGATTTCCCCTAGGAAACTGCTGCCAGCTGCCTTCAGACAGGTTAGATTCGGGCTTTACTAAATCAGTTGTGCACAGAAAAGTGGTGTTACCGAGAAAAGGCTCTCACTTCCGTTGTATGTTCAGTCCAATTTGTGGCTGTGTCAAAACCTGGGGTGAAAATACCTAAAAGTGTTGGAAGTGCAGAAAAAGGAGAAGTGATCTAATCAGCAGGAGGAGTGTGTGATAAGGGAGATCTTGCTGGTTGGCACAGAGGAAAGGCACACACGTTTTCAGCGTCTCCAGCATAAAAGGAGGTTTGGATCATCTCTCAGCAGGGAGGAAATTTGCTCTTTCCTACTGAAATCCTTTTTTATTGTGTCGACAGATCGTGTGCTTGTTGGGGAATAGCCAGAAAATGCACTTATCAAGGAGTTATTGGTTGCCTTATTACAGTAAATATTTCCAAGTCTGGTCTCCACTACTTGGGTAACATTTCATCTTTGCAGTTCTTATAAAATAACTCATTCAGGAGAGCTTCAGTCTCTCTTTGCAGGTGACAGCATTCCAGAGCTTGTCCTGGTGTAACTCCGTCCCAGCCCAAACCAGGACAGTGCTGCAGAGCTCAGTCCTTGGGATGGCCACTTCCCCAAATATCCAGACAGTTTGTGAAGTGTAGGCACAGGAGAAGACCCCAAATTAGTAAAGCTTAAACAAAACTGGAAAAATCAGATGTATGTATGAACTCCCAGACCTGTGTATCCACATCTCTGACTGGTATCATTGTGCTTGGTTCAACTGAAGAGTTTTGGGTTTAGAACTTCTGTGAAGAGGTGGATTTGTTTTGATTTCCGTTCCTTGGCGATCTCGAGTTTCCTCCCCGGTTTGGGGGCGCTGGAATGTGTTGTTGCTCTGTGCAGAGCTGCCTCCTTTATTGCTGGGGGGGATTTCTGTGCATCCCATGGATATTGGGTGGGAGAAACTCAGTGGCACCCATTTCACGGGGTGCTGGAGCACAAAAAACAGGGAAGCAAAGCCTGGGAATGCTCATAACAAGGTACCACTTGAAGTCCCTCATCAGGAAGTCATGGATCACCTGTGGCATCAGAAGACCTTTAATTTAATTAGTTGAAATTTTAAAAATAATAATAAAAAAAGTGTGTCTGATTGTCTCCATCAAGAAGCACAGAGTGAGCGGCCACTCCAAAGGGCAGGAGTTGGGGGTGAAAGGTGGGATAAAGGGGGGGAAAGAACACACCAGACCAAGAGAAATAACCTGGAAAGCCAAAAAGAAATGACCTGTGAAACCAAATGGTCTTTTCTAGTCTTACAGGTGTGACTTACCCCCGTGCTGAAACCCCATCTGTGTGTATGGGTTAGTGTTGCAGTGGATTATTGTTGCTCCTGATTCTCCTATTAATGGTTGTTATTATTGATATTAATAATTATTAATTATTAATCTGGCAGACTTGCTTTGGATGCCCTGTGTTGTAGTAATTTGATACTTCTTTTAAAAAAAAAAAAAAAGAGTGGTTTTTAATGTGTAACCATCACAAAATGCCAAGAATGAAGACACTGAGTCCTTTTTTGTTGCTGAACACAAGTCCTTTGTTACCCAAACATGATATTAATTATTTTTGTTCTTATTTCCCCCTGAACCTTCTGATCTGTCTCGTGGCAGGTGTTTGCAGCCCCTGGAAGGTTGTTCCTTAGACACACATGGAAAGGGATAATTCCCTTCCTTGGGAAAGCTGCCCCAATAGATTCTGCTCCTTCCCTGTCCTTCCAAAATCCAGCGAGGAGAGGAATTACTGGAAGTATTTGCATCAGAAGTGAGCACAGTTTTAAGGGGGAAAACGCTCCAATTTGTGACATAATTGAGTTGAATTCCTGCAAATCGAGTTCTCTCCTCCCCACGTGCAGATTCCTCCTTTAGTGGCTCCTGGAATTATTCCCCAATTTCATTAGCACGGGCCTGAGTCAAGACTTGGGGAATTGGGTCTAAACTTGTATTTTTAGAGGTTTTGACAACGCTCACTCATTGACTTCCCCCTTGTCACATCCAAACATCAGTTCTGTGGGGAACATAAATTATTTAGGAATTGAAAAGGCTGAGTTGGGGGGGAATTTGCGTTTCAATCTCATTTTTGGGTTGTGCAAACTTCATAAATTCGTATTCGTAGAGTTAATTTTCCCTGTGTCAGAACACAAAAGCTGTACTTTTAACAAAGCAAATGCTGGGCCGGGTTCTTGCTGAGTTAAAAAAATACCAATCAAGGTGCAGCAAAGAGAGAAAAAGAGTTCAGCCACTGCTTTTCCTTAGGTTGGTGTGTCATAAATCCTGATTTGGTGGCTTCCACAAGCAGGAATTGCTTGAGCCAGGTGAAAATAGTTAAGTGGACTCAGGTTTTGAGAATGCAAATGTTACAATCGCAGAGATGATCTCATTAATTATCCTCTTGCTGGTGTTGCTTGCACTGGGCTGAACTGGTACCCACTGCTTAAAACATCCCCAGTTTCAATGTCCAGTTCTGTTTGGCCCTTGCCCAAATCCATCCCTGACTCAGCAGCTTGCTAAAGAATGTTCTTAAACCAAAAAAACAATTAAAAGAACAGATTTTAGGACAAACAAACGAAGCTTTAGCGAGGAGCTGTGGATTCCTTAAGGCACAAATAGAGCTGCTCCTCTGGAATAGGAATGGATTTGCCCTTAAATTTTCCACCCAGAAATCGGAGGGGATGGAAACACTTGGGCGTTGATCAACACTTGGGGTGTTGATGATTCCCCTCAGCTTGGTCTCCCCAGTTTTACCTGGTGGTTTGAAACCCTAATATTTATAAATATAAGAGTGAGGGGGTGGCAGAGCTGCTGCCCCTCCCTGTTTTTTGGGGCTGAATCCCAGGTCGTGGCGCTGCAGTGAAGGTGGTGGTCGATGCTCCCAGGCCTGGGTAACGAGCTTTGGTGTTCATCCCTTCACTCAGGTGGAGCCAGAGAAGCTGAAGACACTAACAGAGGGGCTGGAGGCCTTCAGCCGAGCCAGGAAAAGGAACAGGAAGTGAGTAAATCCTCCTCCTTTCCCGGGAAAACACCATCATGGCGAATTTTTGGTTAATTCTCTGATTCCTCGTGCTGGTTCTGAGAGCCACAGGCTCACCCCAAGATCTGGGATATCTGGGTTTTTGGTGCCTCTCCTCACAGTTCCAGGAGCCCCTGTGGAATGTCATCCTGCTTGTGGGAGCTTTGGGGGGGGAACTCTTAATTTTCTTGTTTTTATCCAAAAAAAGAGAGCTACGGTGACCAAATAACGCTTTTTAACCAGCTCTGCCCTTCCCTCCTCCCTCCCCCTCTGGCAGAGTTGTGTTCAGAGAAATTCCCTTTTGATTCAGGTGTTTTATAGGGGTTTATTTGGAGAAATTCCCACTATTTCCCATTGCTGGGATTATGGATTTATGGGTTTATGGATTTGTGGGGCCTGGCTGTGCAGAGCTCTGGGTCAGGCCTGGGGTAGCTGGGGGGGTTTATCCTCCTTTTTAGCTTTTAGTGAAAACACAAGGATAGAAACAACGTGGGACAGCAAAATACTGGGATATGAACCATCAGGATAGAGAAAAACAGGAAATTTTTGAGTTCTTGGGGAAAAAAAAACCCTCTGGACATTTCTAAAAGGATGATGAAGCAGAAATTGGGATTGGGTTTGTTCTGTGATGCTGCTGCTTATTTGCTGTGGCAGGGAAAATGTGTTCCTTAAATCCATGTGAGAATTCCAGGTCAGTTCTCAGTGGGCTGAAAGGGATTAAATCCTTCTCCCTCTTCCCCTCCTTTTAAGGTGTGAGCTTCGCTTTTATTTAGATGTCACTTTTATACTTAAGAGAAGTGATTTTTTTATGCCAAAAAAGACAGTTCTGGTGGTTGTTTCCTCCAAGATCATCCCTATTTAAAGTGAGAAGGATGTTTAACTTCTCTTCAGCAATTCCAGCACGAGCTTCACTTCCCATAATATCATCCAGAGGTCTGATCTTCCTCCCTGTGCCCTGGGAGGCTCTGCAGTTCCAGCATTCCCAGGGAGTTTATCCTTCATTTTTAAGGGTTTTTTTGTGTGTTATTCACAATTACTGACACTTTCTTTTTCCCCTCCTAGGAGTGGAAAGCTAAATAACCATTTAGAAGCTGCTATACACGAGGCCATGAGTGAACTAGACAAAATGTCTGGGAATGTAAGTTCCTTTTGCTCTGCAATCCTCTCCTCTCCCTGTGTCCCTGCTCCTGTCCCGGAGGGAGGGTTGGCTGGGCTGGTTCCTACCACATTTTGTTGCCCTTTCCTTCAATAATGGGGGATTTTCAATATTTCTCCTGCATTAAAGGACAGTTTTGCAAATGTCAGACTTTTTGCCGAGAGGTTTCCACCCTGAGCCTGATAATTGTGGGGTCAGTTCCAGTCCCACTCCTATTCCAGGGGGTTTCTCTGACTAAGGACTCCAAGTCAGGCTCATTTGTTTCTCACTTTGAGTAGCAACCACCTTTGAAAGGATCATTCCTTGCATGTAAAACCCTTGGAATAAAGCTTTCCTCACGGGAAATCAAAGATATTGCCCTGAAAGGTAAGTTTTAAAAACGAGTATTTCTAATATCACATCCAACAGTGGGTTTTCTGCCCTAATTCACTGTTCTTATCTCAGCCCAGAATCTTTCTGATATATATTTTAGTTTATACAATGTCCTCATCTTCATATTTAATTGCAATTTTATTGGAGCCCACTTAAAAATTTAAAAAAAAAAAAAAATCTACCACAGCACATGCAACCTCCCAGATCTTATAATTAGTGATTAATTATGCAAGTAATCAATTGAAACATGTTTGAACACAGGGAGTAAAAGGTCTTTTTGCTGATATTCAGTGCTCAGGACTGAAGATGTGTGTACAGTGTGTGTTTGGAAGTGAGGGTGACACCTCAGGGGAGCTTCTGGAGGATAAAAAAGGAAATTATATATATGCATATATAAGAATATTCTTTTTTCTTAATATGTATATATAATCTATATATTATATATAGATTATATGTGCATATATAAGAATATAGATTTATTTTCTTTGTATATCTTTATATATAACAGATATCCTTTATAGATATAATAATGCCTGCAGAGCAGAGCTGATTTCAGAGCCAACAAGGAATGTTAAATAAGTTTTTAGCTTTTAGTGGCTGCTGAAATTAAGAACCAAATCAAATGTTTTGCTTAAAGTTCTGAATTTTAGAGACTGGGATTTGAGCTTTGATTTGATTTTCCTTCCTGTCTTTGGAAGGAGCAGGAAAGCAGGGTCTGGGACAATTAAATCAGGGATATGGGGTCAGGCTGGACCCTCCTGCTGACACCTTTTCTATGTGTAAATCCGGGAACACTGAAAGCTGCTGGGCACTGTCACTGCTGGAGGTGGATTTGCTGAGCTGGTGGCACCTGAGTGTCAGGGCAGCCTCTTGATTTATATTTTAATTACCCGGGCCCGGCACTCGTGCTCAGCGTTCATTTCCATACAGATTATCCTTCCTAGAAACACTCCCAGGAATCAGCACTTCTCTTTTTAGTGACTTGCATTTTTTTTTTTCAGCTACTACAGCTCAGGCATCAGTCAGTTGGAAATGGAAAACATGTGGGATCCTCAGCTGCAGGAGGGATTCCTGCTGGCAGAGCCAGAGCAGAGGCAGGGAATGTCGGGGGGCTGGAGGAGCTGGGAAGGGCCCAGGAGCTGCTGCAGGATCAGATCCTGCTCTTGGGAAGCTGCAGCTGCTGCCAACAGATGGTGGTGGTGGAATTCCACACCAGGAGCCTTCCTCCTCCTCCTCCTCCTCCTCCTCCTCTCCCACTTGTTTTGCTTCCGGATCAGTCCAGCTGTTGGCTCAGAGCTGAGTGTTTCCTTTTAAACATGGGATGAGGAGTTTGCTGATGATTCCCTAATAACACAACACCCTGGGCTGGACTGCCCTGGTTCTCCCTGGCATCAGCATTTCCTCACCTGCTTCCCCCCTCGTGGCCCTTGTCCTGGCAGGGTCTCCAGGTCTGCCACTGACAGTCTGACAGAACTGCAGTCTGGCCATCAGGTCCTGGTGTTGTGGTTTCCCACTCACCTTTTCCTCCCAGTTCCTCAGAGTTCCTGAAGTTCTTTAGCTGAGCCTCCTGTGCAGCTGGGAAATACTAATCCCTGTTTGCTCCCCAGTGAACCCCATAGCTCATTCACCCTCTGCCCACTGTGCTTTGCTAACCTGTGAATATCCTTGTTTTCAGGTCCACCAAATCCCGCAGGGAGACAGACAAGTGAAGCCTCCAAAACTCAAGAGGAGGAAGATCTCCAGATAACATTGAATGTCTTTGTTACTGGTCCAGTGCTTGTGGAAGTGAACACTGAGTCCATCTGTAGGTATTGCTCTAGGCTGGTGCATCGCTATTTATGTGGGGACAGCTCGATGCCAGCGGGGCACACGCCGGGCAGTGGGACAAGATTTGGGATGATCAGGAGGGATAGAAGTTGCTGGAGGAGCCAATCAGAAATCTGGAATGGTTGCAGTAACAATGTCAGATGATTACTGAAAGAAAAAAAATTTTTTTTTTTCTATGATACTAAAAATTGTGATTATAAGAAATAGTCCAAATGTTTCTGAGAAATTTTCCTTGTGTATATAGATAATACAGAATTTCCTGGTGATATCTGAACTGTAAATATTGTACAATATTGTCATGTACAAGCGTACCTAATGCACACTTTATCTTTTATTGTACAAAAAATAGTGTACAAAATTCTTTGGTTTCTATTGAGTACACATACAAGAGACTACCAGTGTAAAGTGATAAATAAAAATACAGCCTAAATGCTTTTATATGATAATGTAAAAGATGCTGTTTTTGTATTTAACAGCAGAGAGAAGGCATGATTATGTAATACCTTAATTCTGACATCCCCTTCACGCCACTGAGTGTTCATGGATCCTGTCTGTTTGGAGTGAACCGTGCCTGGAAGTGCTGTGCTCCACGCAGGTCCCTGCAGGAGAGCGCAGATTCCTCCTGGGATGTGGGATCACAGCTCTGATGGAGAATCCCGAGGCTGCAGCCATCGGTTGCGTTTGGTTTCCGTAGCTTTTCCAGTAGGATGCTGTAGGTTTGGCTGAGGAGGAGGAAGGAGCAGTAGGAGGCTGTTTTAGTCAAGCATTTCCATAGGTGAGGTCTCAGAGCCGCCTGAGGAACCAAGCGGTCGATACCCCCGGGAACATTGACCCCCTAGATCGTTAATTAGCTGAAAGTCTCTAACTTCATTAACCCTGCAGGGGGGCAGAGGCCCTGCTTGGAGGAGGGAGCAGTGCTGAGTGCAGTTGGTTTGGCAGCAGCAGGGAAGGGCAGTGCTCTGGAAAAGGCAATCCCGGCATCCCTCCCTCAGAATTACAGCACCAAGAGAAGTTAAGGGTGGCTTAACAAAACTTATTAGCAGCGGTGATTTTTATCAGTATTATGTAACATATCAGATTTATTTTATTTAAAAAGAATTATTTATACCATTAACAGATTCTTATATATATTAATGTGGCTGAAATGCGCAGGTTAAGTCTATTAACCAAATTATTTATGTTATATTAAGTGAGAAATGTGAAACATATGTAGAAAAGAAGAAGAAATTAATACACTACAGATTTAAAAGTCTAAAGCTATGAGCCATTATAAACTCAACCAACGGGAGTGTAGCACAACATTCTTTCCATCGGCTTTCATTTTTCTTTTTCCCCACGGATGGTGGGGGTGGTGAGGGGGCTCCCTGGGATAGTTCAGCTCCCCATTCCCAGTCCCGGGGTGGAGTCCTCCATCCGGGATCACCACTTACCTCAGATTCCTGTCCCCCGGATTCCCAGTGTCGCTCTCAGTGAGGACTGATCGGCCCCCTGGGGTCTCCAGGGCTCCAGGATCCCACTTCCTTGCTCCTGCCCCAGGTCCCACAGGGAGTGTCGCAGGAATGCCCCCGAGATGAGGATTCCCCGGGCTGGGCTCCCGCTTTCCCGGGCACGCAGCACCTACCTCTGGGCTCCTCTGGGCTCGGCCCTGCTCCGTTGGGTTCCCATTCCCGCCCTTTTGGGGTGCAGTTTTCCCGTTTTTCCGTCCCGCGTCGCTCCGGTTGCCAGTGTCCCTTGGGCGTGTCCGTGGCTGGCTGAGCCCCTGCTGCCTGCCATCCCATCCCATCCATCCATCCATCCATCCACCCATCCATCCATCCACCCATCCATCCATCCACCCATCCATCCACCCATCCCATCCATCCATCCATCCACCCATCCATCCACCCATCCACCCATCCATCCATGCATCCACCCATCCATCCACCCATCCATCCACCCATCCATCCACCCATCCATCCACCCATCCCATCCCATCCATCCATCCACCCATCCATCCACCCATCCATCCACCCATCCACCCATCCATCCACCCATCCATCCACCCATCCACCCATCCATCCATCCATCCACCCATCCATCCATCCATCCATCCACCCATCCATCCATCCCAGAGCTCCTGGCAGTGTTTCGGTGTGTGCTTCCCGGTGTTTCCCTCCCGGTCCGCAGCTCCCGGTCGGGGTTTCCGTGCCCCGCTCCCCGTGTCCCTGAGGGCAGTGCCGGGGTAGGAGTCGTTTGCTCTCAGCCCACACCGCTTTTTTCCTCCTCTCTTGCCGAGTGTTGCTGGTTCCGTGTCAGCAGTTCCTGTGAATGTTGTGAGCGTTGCAGGTCGTGCAGTTGTTGGAACATTTTCAAACAAATGTTGCACCGGCTTTCCGATTAAACAAACTGGTCACTCGTACTTGAATTTTGCCCATAGAGCCATTTCTTTCTCTTTGCATTAAAGCATAATCTACTTTTTTGATGGAGGCCCAACCCTTCTCTTTCTACCTTATTATTTTTTTGTTTAAGAAATATCTCTATTTTTTCTAATAGAAGACTTAAAAAAAAAAAAAAAAGGAAAATTTAAAAAAAAAATACTTTTTGCCTACTTTCTAATTTAAGAGAGAATTCCTATATTTAAAAGGTGGAGGGGGGAAAAAAAAAAAGGAAAAAAAAAAAGAAAAAATACTCCATTGTGGCAAGTGGAACACCACTTTATCTGTCATTAATATGGCACAGTCACCCCAGAGTGAAGTGGCTGAGGAGCCCACGGCGTCGGTCAGGACCTCGGTAGATTTGTAGGGAACGACGTGATTCCTCGAGGATGTAAAAGTGTTACGTATTCTTGTCTATTTATTTATTTATTTATTATGCTTTCTTTTTGCTGAGTGGGTGACAATGTGGTTGAGTCATTCAGGTGACGTTCCAATTAAAGGAAATGATTCCTCTTTCTGTTATGGTGCGTTTTGTGAACACCATAAACGGAACAACAGCGAAAACCTTGTCACTTAGTCCAGTGGGTTTTCTTCACGTTCTGACAGGAAACCTTTGGCTGGTGTCAGCTGCAAAGATAAAATCCACATCGTTGGAAAATTAAAAAACAAAAAAAAAAGGCAAAAAACAGGAAAAAAAAAAAAAAAAAACAAACCCACCCCACCTCTGATGTCCCGGGTCTGTTTTCCTCACAGTCAAAGGTTTTAGGGGTTAAAAGGAACTTAAAACTCAAAGGTCTTTCCTCGATCAGCTTTGCAGGAGGTTTCTAAGTGATGTGATATCCCTTTGGAGTCCCTGAGTTTGATGGTCTAGAGATGTTAGAGGGCTCGTGGTGGACTGAATTACCTTAGGACTGGTACCTTTCTTAGCTACAGTTTGTATTTTGCTATGTAGGGTTGTAATGTGAGAATTCCAGAAGAGCCGTAGCATAAAAGTGCTTTTCTATTTTTAAAAAAAAAAGAAAAAAAAAAAGAAAGAAAGAAAAAAAAAACAACAAACAAACGAACCCATTCTAGTCTTACTAAGAATTAGAGGATTTTTTTAATATCAGTTTTGTAATTTTTTGATAAAGTTGTCAATATTATGATTAAATCACCAGAAAAAACAGTTCCTGTGCTGTTCTCTTCGGGGCAGGGGCTCCGTGTTCCGGTGGCTCCGTGGGATGCCCGGCCTTAAACAGGGCCCCTCTGTCAGCTGAAATAGCAACCAGCAGTGCTGAGGGCCATTTAGGGGCCAGGAGAACCCCCAGCCAACGCTGAGCATCCCAGAGCTGGGCATTTCCAGGGCGCTCCTGGCGGCGGCGGCGGCGTCCGACGGGTAAGTGGAGGTGGCTGCGGAAGGTCCCGCTCGCTCGACATCCCAGGAACAGATCCACCCCCATCCCACCCCTCGCTCTGCTCCTCCCACCACGCCAAACTCAACATCCAAACCCCAAAATCCCCAAACACACCAGCAGGGTGGTTTGCTTCCATATTTATTCCCTGCGAGGAATTCCCCCTCAGTTCGCTCCGGGGGCAAATCGATGCTGCAAAAACACTCGGAGGCTTTAAAAAAGTCCTACCAAAACTAAATTTCTCAGCTGACCAGCTGAGGGGTTTCCACGCACCTCCCAGGCCAGCCCACCAAGCATTTCTGCCCCACTCCTGGTGCCTCTGGTTATCCTTGTGCTCCCCAGAAATTCCCACCAGCCATCTCTGGTTTCACCTGGACTGGCGATCCCTTACATTTGCTTTGCATTTGGAAGCCCAGAAAGCAGTGGGAAGTCATTTCCCCAGGGCTCATTTCTCTGTGCCAGGTTTTACAGTTGATCCCTTGGCTGCCAACAACACTTTAAAAGCAATTTTTGTTTTTGCTTTAAAAAAAAATAAACCCGAAATTTAAAATGGAAGATTGGATTTGAAATATCCCCTGCGAAAGATTCCATCTGTCAGGAGAAGTGTTTGTAATTGTCATCCCAGCAGAAGATGAGGGGTTAGGATTTAGAACAGGGAATATATATATATATATTTTTATATATATATATTTAGAATAGTTCTTTCTGGAAATGCCTATTTTGGAAAAGGTCTGGGAAATGGGAAGGGTTTGAGGTACTTACAGGGGATGAAGTGGGGTGGAGAAGGAAGAGCAAGAGCACCCTCACATATTCCTGTGTCCAAATCCCAGGATTGGCACAGGCTGACACAAGTCCAGGAGAAGCACTGGCACTGGTGTTTCAGAATTCCAGGCAGGAATGGATCCCGGTGAGGGAATGATCGAGGGCTGAGCCGTGAGTTGGGCCTGGCTGGGAACGGAGCTGAACCAGGTACAGAGTGGGATGGGGAGCAAAGGCTTTTCCAGCCACATCCACATCCAGGCCCGTGCTGCAGGTAAGTCCTTTGGGCACCAGTAATTCCCTAAATGGAAGAAGAAATGGAATAAATCTGGAGGAATAAATGCTTTGGGTTCAAAAATGCACACAGTTCCTACTCAGCTGGTTTCTGCTCTGCACGTTCCCACAGCACGAGGACGGGGGGGTTGCAGAGTCTGGGCTGTGAAAACCCAACTTTTCAGACAGAAAACAAGTTTATGGGATAGACATGTTCTTAATCCTACCTCACAAGTTCCCATCTCATCAAATCACAATCATTTCAGGCCTCTTTGAAAGAGAAGCAATTCCCAGTTCCAGATAGAAACACGGCTCGTTTGCAGTTCCAGGAAAATCATTTCTTGCTCCTCTCGCTGTTTTTTCTCCAGGGACAGAAAAAGTCATAAAAATAACACAACAATTTATTGGGGTTTGTCATTATCTTTCTCAGTTGTGGGATTGAACTCTCTGCTTCTGAGGGAAAAGGGAAGATTCACCCCTTAAAAAGCGAGGGGAAACTTTTTTCTTATCCAATCCTATCCTATCCTGTCCCATCCAATCCTGCCCTGTCCCATCCTGTCTTTCATTTGTTTGGTTGTGTCCAAAAGGGGAATCTGGAGTTCCCACACTTGGTCTTACCCATCTTAACAGTTTCATCAACCAAAATAGCGAATAGGAGATCACAGATGGGATATTGGGAAGGGATTCCTGGCTGGGAGGGTGGGGAGGCAAAAAAGGCAGGGAAGTGGGAGAGGGAGCAGAGCCCACAGGCACCTCCTGCTTCCCAAGGTGTCCCAGTAAATGCCAGGAAAAACCTGGTACTGCCTAAACCTTTGTCATGAACAACCTGGTTTTGACAGAATGAGGAAAATAATAGAGTAAAGTGTTAGAAATCAAGTAAATACAGTAATTTTTTTTAATACTTTTTAAAAATGAGGGGAAACTTAGGAGATTTATGAAAGTACAGGTTTAGTATTTGCAACTTTAATATAAACTAGGACAATAACTTTTATAAAGCTGCTTATGAAGTCCTTCCTTAGCACCCACTGGGACCGGTTTCTGTACAGGTGCTGGATCCAGATGTGGCTCCCAACACCTTTTATCTGCAGGACAGGAATGTCCTGCCAGCCCCTCATTTGCATCCCTACGGGGAGCGAGGTGGAGTGAGTTTGTCCTGAGGTGGGACAGGCATGGAAACACAGGTCCAACATGTGATCCTTGTTAAAATACTTGGAATAGCTGGGGGGGAATTAGGCTGAAGCCCTCTAATGGTGCAGATTAAATCTGTGACAGGCAAAGAGCCCTGGTGGGGGCAGTTCTAAGCTGGGTTTAGCAAAACACAGAGCGGAGTTTGGAGGAGTAACAACGAAATACCTGCACCTGGTAGAAGTGCTGGGCTTTGCTGAGAGCACAGCTAACACCCCTGAGGGATGTAGGGCAGGCAGCAGAGCCCGGCCAGCAGCAGAATCCGAGTCATTCCGTGCAAATGTCAAGTTTTGGGAGCGACTGTGGATGCAAATCTCCTCCTGAAAGGCTGAGCGCTGCCATTAAGCGGCTCCGTGTGACGCTGCATCTGCCGGGTTTCTTTGATATCAGTTTATTTTTATGTGTGCCGGGGAAAAGGATTGGGAATCTCCACCTTCAGATCTTATTAACATCATTTCCCCAGCTTCTGCTGTCTGTCGATGGAGTGTTTGGCGGAGGGATGGTTATTTCTGGCAGAGGTTAAATCCGTTCCCGGCTTCCCAAGCCCTGAGCCTTCGAATGAAAATGGGATTTTGAGGAGAAATTTTACTTTTCCGTGTATTGACCCCAAGTTGAATTCCTCGGGAAGATGGGAGGAGGGAGGAGGTGCCCGTTCCAGGAGCCTGTGCCGGAGGACTCCCATCCCCTCCGTGTAATCAATCTACCCAAGTGTTTCCCCAGCTCTCATTATCCCCGGTGCCTCCAGGATAAGAAGCCGGGAACAATCACCCATTGTCAGTTTGTGAAGGAACTTTTTCATCTTCCTTCCCCAAAGACTGAATTGTTAATTAAGTAAATTGAAATTAATTACGGAGCGTGCGCGACAAGACGTTATCGCGCCTGTCCCCCGAACTGAGCTCCCCCTGCTGTGCCTGCACGCTCGGCCTCCGTGGGATCCTGGAACCGAAAGGTGGTGAGATCAGATGGGATATTGGGAAGGAGTTGCTGGCTGGGAGGGTGGGCAGGCCCTGGCACAGATTGGGCAGGGAAGCTGTGGCTGCCCCTGGATCCTTGGAAGTGTCCAAGGCTTCATTAGCAAGATGTTTCAACAGAGCCACATTCCAAAGGGCGTGGATGCTGCATTCCCATTAATTAGTTTCCAGAGGAAGATGTTGCCATTAATTATCGACAACGATCCTCTTATTAACTGCCTGATAAGGGGGACTTAAGTATCCAATAAAATAATGGATCAAGGGGGGATGAAGTGTATCCTGAGGATCGCTGGACCTGCAGCAAAGCCAGTGCAGTTATTTACCCAGTGAAAGTGTAAATGGCTTCCTGATTTTGATCTGGAAACTTTCAGGAGATGAACATCTCACAGGTGTCAAGTGTTCTCAGAAGAGCAAATGTCCCACAAGCTGGTCAGAGCCAGGACACTTCCCAGCAGGAGCTGGGCGGGCCAAGGAGGGACCATTCCCACCCTGGGAAAGGGGCCCAAGGAAAGGTGGGGGTTGTGCTTCCATCCTTCTTCCCCTCCTGTTCCCATTTATAGGGAAGGCAGATTTATCCCTGTGTCTCACCCCTGCATCCAGCTGTTGGGGCACCATGCAGCTAATCTGCATGGATGATACTCAGGATGTTCCCCAAACAGGATTGATGACGTGTGTTCCAGAGCTGTCACTGATTGTGTGGCCTTTACTGTCAGGCCCATGGTGTTGTTTGGGGGCTTTTTTAATGATCCTTAAAAGAAGGAATGAGATTTCTCCTTGAAAATATCCATGAGTTAGGGGCCTCCCAACTTCTCAATCCTAACACTCAAAGAAATTTATTTCAACTTCATTCTCCAATAAAACCCAAGCCCAGGTGAGGCACAACTCCTGGTCGGGAGTTCATGTTCTCTCCTGCTCGTTTCTGGAAATAAAGAATTAAGCAGAACAGCTCAAAGTTTGCATTTCTTGGGAAAATAAAAGTTATAAAGCGAGGTTTCTTTTAAACCCTCTGCTGCAGAAAGTCATCAGGACCCGCTGCATCAGGTAAATAACCATGAAACTCAAGTTGTCTTGTCTCAGAATAGCTGCTTTTAACTCAAGCTGCACATTATCTTTTTTTTTTGTTTGAAATCTGAGAGAACTCTTCCCTCAGACAATTGCTTCTGTTCAGTGTTTCAGGGAACTCAGAAACACGGGGGTGTTTGGAATCCTTTCTGGAGCATCCTCCAAAGCAGAGTGTTATGAGCACAGTCTGATCTCCAAAGCAAAACCCAGCTAAATTTATTCCTGCTCCCACCCACCCTGCTGAGGCCTCTTGCCAGAGTTACCTGCTCACACGTCTGGGTCAGGGCTCCAGTGTTCCATGGGAATTGGATTGCTGTTCCACAGAGGCTTCCAAAGGCATTGGGAAATTTATTTCTCCCTCTGGTCTCACTGCTTTTCCTTTCCCAGCTGCTCCACAGCTCTGGTGCCCTGTGCCAGGAGGTGACCCTGCACACTTGGTGCATCACCAAGGCTGAGAGGTTGTGCTTAAAACCAAGCCTTAATTAAATTAAATTAATGGTGGTTGACTTACTTGTGCCATTCCTGTTGCCAGTCCTGGTGCAGTGGCAGACACCTGCCAGCTCCAGGCAGGAATGTGCCCCTCACTGAGGTGTGGATTTGCCCACGGTACAGGGAGGGAATGTATTTTCCAAACAGCAGCTCCAGCTGTTTCCTGAACAGCCTGCATGGAACGGTGTGGTTTGCCCTGGAATAACATGGCACAGGTATTTCCTCACTCACATTTCCAATCTTTGGAAGCTTTGGCTGTGGTTTTGTTCCATTTTTTATACACTACAGAGTCCTGATCCGTAACCCAGAGAAGCTGTGGCTGCCCCTGCACCCCTGGAAGTGTCCAAGGCCAGGCTGGAGCAACCTGGGACAGTGGAAGGTGTCCCTGCCCATGGCAGGGGTGGCTCTGGATGATCTTTAAGATCCTTCCCAAACCATTCCATGATTCCATGATCACAAGATCTTCCCCAAACATTACTGGCAATGGTATTTCTCAGCCAAAGCCCAAGGGACTGGAATTGTTTCCTCAGCCTTTTGTGAAGGAATTGTTTCCTCAGCCTTGTTGTGTGATCTTGTGCAAGTCCATGCATAATCATAAAACAGGGAGGTGCTAATGGGCTGATTTTTGGTGGTGTTTCTGCTGCTGGAGGTGTTGACTCTGCCACATCCCTGCCCTTCTGTCATCCACCACTTTCACAGTCAGAGTTTCCCTGCATTGCTTTCCCTGAAGTACCAATTTCTCCTGGTGTTTGATTGTTCCCTGATCACCAGCTCTGGTTAGACTGGATCCCAGCAAA